TTTCTCATATTCCTGCTCTTTTAAATGCTGACCTCTGATCCCCAAACTGATTTTAAGATCTGAGAAAGAGATTGCTGCTTTGCACTTCCAGCATGCTACTTACTATGCATGAGGTTTTCATTTACAGGGATATAGCTGCCCTCTTGAGCTAAGGTCAACTCTGAGTTCTTGTGAGAAATTTCTCTCTAGTTTTGAAGTATGTAAACTGTTCACATCTCGAGCTTCTTTGCACTGTTTTGCTTAAGAAATGTAAACAGTGTTTCACACGTGATAAGAAACTCTTGTTTTTTCTTTCGGCTTCCCTCTTTTGTATTAGACCATGTTTCTGACCTCATGAATGACTTCTTACCCTCTCACATTGCTGTTCTGATCTCATATTGGAGATATGAGTTCATATCTCCTCCCCCTTTACCATAAAAAAACCAAATAAGTACCTACCACATAATTTATTATTTCTACTGTCATGGGGGGGGGGGGGGGGGGGAAAGGAAGGACACCACATACCAGAATATAAATCCACAGGAAATACCTGAAAGGCACTTAGCACAACTATGGGACCATGGACAGGTAAAGACTTCACCTATACTGCAATACGACTATAAAAGACCATCGCCAGCCCTGAAGTGGCATTAGCATGACACTGACCTCATTAGACCCACTGAGAAAGAAGGGTGACACAGGCAGTGCAGGAAAGGAGAGCAAGACTTTTAGCTGGACTGTCTGAGCAGAACAATTTGTTATGTGCTCTGTTAATAATGTCCATTCACAAAAAGGGAAGTGCATCAGTGTTCATGGGCTTAATGCATCCGTGAGAAGTCTCTCCGAATGTCTAGCCTGAGTGTAACAATGCAGGCAGCCAGGGCTAATGAATACAATGATGTTGAGATTGGGGTCAGTTAGCAAGTATTCTAATGAAGAAACAGGTAAAATCAGCCTTCAAGTAACCAAAGTATTCTGCTCTGGGAAAAGACACCAAGAATATTTGTACTATGCATCTGCACACCAGGTCACTGGGTGTGCATATCAAGGGTGTCAAACCACTGCTAAAGGTCCCAAGAGTAGCTGTGGATCAGACTACCAAGGGCATTTGAATTCATGTTTAAAACCTAACTCCTCAAGGCACAGAAATGAGGCAGGTACAGAAAATGCTCAGTAATTACAGAACCAATAACTGATGCTGCCAGTGGCTGGCTTTAGAGATGACAATTCCTGGAAAGGCTCAACTCAGTTTCATGGACCAGATGCCCTGGAGCCTCATTCATGGTAATCCCAATGTGTCAAGAAGGCAGTACAGATTGAATAAAATATTCAGGCATGTGGATGTGCCTCCTCGTGACCAAGGAGCTTTGGCTTAGACATCACAGAGCTATAAATAACAAATGACCAAAATCCTGTCAGCTTTGTGAGTTTTGCCTAAAAAATTTGAGGTGTTTGGTGTGTTCTTCTGAAACTGCTGCAACCCCTGAAGTGTAGAGAGTTGTATTGTAGGGTGTATTTTCTCATCTTTGGGTTTTCCATTCAGCTAATCAAGAAAAGGTTAGCTGTTCCTTAAACTGTGAGCACAGCACCTGCTGCTCAGCAACTTTACTCATCACAAAACAGAACAAGGAAGAGTTCCTAATTATTACTAAATGGCCTCAAACTAGAGAGAGCAAAGGTAAAAATCTTTTCTAGCACATCTATACATCTAGTCCTCTAATTTCCTAGAGGAGAGATTTCATGTCTGAAAACTCCTGGAAATCTATTAGTTTTTACTAAAGGCCAGAAGAGGGGTTAATTCATGAAATTACGTGTTGAAAATCCAGTTTAAGATTCTGCCATACTATTATGAGAATAAATGGCACAATTTCCCAGCTCTTGCTATCTACACTGTCAGGAAACTTGCCCTTGTGCTTTAGCAAGATATGTAGAAAAAACCTATTGAAACCCATCCTTTTAAAGATATTAAACAGGCATTGATTGTCTAAACAGGCATTGATCCCCATATGCCAAGGACAAGAAGCCACACTAGGAATTTAACATGAAGCAAGACTATGTAAGTGGAATGATAGTATCGATAAGTGGGACAGTGTCTCATGGAGGGAACTGAACGGGTTACAGTAGCTAATTACATTGTTTGGCATATCCTGAACACTGTCTGTTTTCACCCAGCCTCCACCCAGCAGGAAAGTCCCCTTTACAGTTTCCTTTTGAAATTCTTCTTTGTGGTACCTTTGTAAGAGAAGTCCACTGTTTCTCATCAGGATTCAGCTGCATAGTTCTGTCTCCTTGTTGACAGGTTTGAGTGATCAGCTCCTGAAACAAGAAGGGCCAACGTTATCCCTGAAAAAACCATCATTTCTCTTAAAGGCAATCCTCTCTGGGAATTGAGAACTTCAGAGCCACAGGGATATGGAGCCCATGGTCAGTGCTGGCTGTAGAGCTTTGGCAGGAATTGGGCTTTCTTGCGGTGCCCGGTGCCACTGCCTGGGCTGTGCTTGCCCCACTAAGCCCGAGGAGAGGCGTAGCAGCCAGGTAAGGTCCGCCCTTCATGACACACAGGGAGGGGAAGCAGCTCCTGGCCCTGGCTGTTAAAGGAACAGCAAATCTGTCTCACAGAAACACACCCTATTATTAATCTTTCATCTTGAAGTACACCTCTGTGTTACTTAATACGTCTTCTGAACTTGCATATATGGTGTCTCTCAAATTAATAAAACCATAAATATTTAAAATACTCCCCTTGTAAACAAGCTCTTACTCTGCAAATAGCTTTGTTTTTCTTTCTGTGGTTTACTATAACTTTAAAAGTTTCTACATTAGGGTCTTGAAGCCTTGTCTTTCTTTACCCTGCCTAGAGTCATTACAGTCAATGGTAGGTCAGGACCGTAGTATCATCTTTGCACTACATGCAGCACAACCACTTCAGATCCCAGATGTCTTGCTTTGCTCTGCACCTTTCTTACCTGAGACAAAGTGCCATCTTGGTCCATTGTGGTGCGTCCACACACACGTCCAGTGTTATCTGTGGCAATGCAATCTCACATCTCCCAGCTTCCACAGACACCAATGGTTCAAATGTCCCAGGTGCAGGTGAGCAACTATTTTATAAACTGACTCAGAGCCCCACCTCTGACTGGTTTCTTAAAACCAGTCACTCTCCTCCCATCCCATTTTCTTATGGTAGGAAGCTGAATCCTGTGATCAAATAAGTAGGAAAAAATACCTTTGCCTATATAACAGGTGGAAGTTTTGTGTTTGAGTCACTTTGCTCTATACTGGCCAATAGCAAGTTTAAAACTAAACATAAGAGAAGGATGCCCTCTTACCTGAGCACTGAACTTTCAACTTAGCAAGATCTCAAAGCCCACAGAAATATATACTGTGCAATAAGATACAGCAAGAATACATAAATTGAATTTAGGTTATTTGTGACAGTTAAGCAGATACAAAAAAAAAAACAGTTAATGAGAAAAAAAGAAAAAAAGAGAGAACACTTGCTCTCAGACTAATCTGGTTATTGCAAAAAACAGTTTAAGGCTTTCTGAACCACATGTCCCTACAATCCAAGGTCTAGGCATACAAAGAAGCACATCCATATGGTGGTTTATAGCTACTCAGCCAAGGTCCAGCAGGGCTGGTTCTCTCCTCGAGTCACTGTATTCCTTCCCTTTCCTTTCCTATGGCTTGTTATTATTATTTTTGTGCTTAGATGTAGAGTCCTGAAGCAACGACTTTCCTTAGCTTAGCTCCACACCCATGAATACTTCTGCACCATTTTCTAGCTCAGTCTGACTCTGGCTGCATTTAAGTGCCTGTGTCCGATCCAATGAAACCTGCCAGCCAGATGCAAAATTCAGCCCTGACCTCGCGATGCCCTCTCCAAAGTCCTTGACACAACTGTGAGACTACTGCTGGGGCAGGACACCTGCCCCTGCCCACACACAGCTGATCCTTTGCTATTGAAACTGGCATGGCTCACAGTTCACTGGAAGAGGATTAGAAAAGGCAGCCAAAGACTGTTGCATCATCAACGGATCATAACAGATCAAACTTTCTGGGGAAAGGGATTATTTTGGCTTCCCTGCTTCCCCAGTACATCATCTCTGAGCAAAAAGATGCTCATTCCCTGAGCATTCTTGAGCTTACTGGTCAAACATTGCCACCAGCCAGCACAGGTCCCCTTTGCACATTCCCATGCAAAATAATATCAACAGTCATCACAGCCCACTTGGTAGAATACATTTTTGCCACAGGGTACAGTATTTTGTGATGCCATGAAGGATTGTTGAGTCTACACACATGGCATGTTTCCTCTGGGTGCCAGCTCAATGCTGTAGCTTGACGAAATGCATTTTTCATTAGGTCACAGAAAACCGGCAGCATTAGCATGTCAGTCATGTTTAAAGACAGTGCTTTACTGTAACATCTCCATGGAGGGCAAAACTATTAACCAGACTGTTTGCAGCACTGGACCTCTTCCCACTGTGCCAGTGGCCAAAAAACTCATTTTCATGGACAGCATTTGCAATCCACATCAAAGACAGCCCTTGCACGAGGGAGGTACCATGGTTCACTCCATACTCCTGCAATCTATCTCTAAAGGAGACATTCCTTTATCCATGATGCTCACAGCAAGTATTTGGTTTGCTCTTTGCAGAGATAAAAACAGTTTTGTTTTCCAGGAACAAGGAATGTTCACACTCTGAACCTGAAGCATATTAATGAAATGCCTGAATATGTGCAGCTAGGCGGAATTTTCATTTTGCAAACAAGCCTTTATTGTCTTGTACTGTATACACAATTTTTTTGCATGTAAATAACATTTATTCAGAACTGGAGGCGGGAAGAGTTTATGGCTAAAACCTGTGTTTACTTTTTCACAACAGGGTTTTCAGGTAAAAATGGAGACAATTCCCATTATTATATGCAGAGCACATAGAATTGTATTTTTGTATTTCTGACTATGACTAGTAAAACTACCGTATAACATAACCAAAAAAAGAAAAAGAAGTGCATAGTTCAAAAACCTGACAAGTTTCAAATGTTAATATTTATGCCATGATCTTTAGGCTGGCAATATTAGGCTACAGCTGCACAAAAATGTAAGTTTTGTTTTGACATAATAAATGACTAAAATGTTGGAAAAGTCATTGTGAACCAATTTGTAAAGATAATTTGTCATCACTCCTTGCTAAAATGAAACTCCTCAGAGTGTCATTTTGTAACAAGCCAAACATGTTATTGGCTGTGAATGAACCTGTTATTTTCAGGTTGGGTTCCCTGGGCTGACGAGGTAGGCAATCTATTAAAAAGAAGTTATGTTTCAAAACAAAGATGTGTTGTAAAATATTAACACGAAATGTTTCAACTTACCCGAACATTTTCCCTGGTTTATTTTAGTTCCACATTATAATATGTAGTTGATAGACTTTTTTCCTGACTGAATAGACTCTTTGTTCAAAAGCTTCCCAGCTGTCTTTAGGACAAAAAACTTATAAATAAAGTGTATTTTCAATTTGACTTGCTCCTGCAATGCAAAAGTTGTTATGGATTTGTAATTTTTACAGCTCACCCTCAGCACAGTTTAAAACAGTTTAAAAAACGCACTTTCAATAAAAGGGAAAAGGAAGGAAGTTTAAAAATGTAAGCCCACAACAAATGGAATTGGTGTTTTTGTGATAGATCCGATGCATGGTCTTCAGATTGTTTTAAGATGGTCTTAGTTGTTTCAGACTTCTGACTCCTGATCAGTATGTACAGGCAGAACTAAACAAATAAGAGGTTTTTTTAATAGACATACGACTAAACTGCTACATTGAGTAACACAGCAAAGTTTTCATTGCCTATTGGAAGTAAAATATTTTCAATTAGTTTCTCTTTTTAATTTAAGAATGGTATTTTATTATGAGAAATAACTCAGTAGGGAAAACAAGATTCAGGGTGTTTTATTTTGAAAGCTTCAAATTGAAGTGTTAAGGTTTTATATATAGTCTCAGCACAAACCAATTAAAACTAACATAAATCAACAGGGACTTTTGATGTGCCCAAATTACACCCTTTGCTTTAAAAAAAAAAACTAAGTGAAAAGTCGTACGCCACTTCCTCCTAAGTTGCTCCTTCCCATCACATATGATTCATTCACCACCCAAGAGAGCCCAGGATGTGGATGCAAATCATGGGGCTGGTTGTGTACACACACTTGTCCCTCCTTGTGTTTCCAGCCTCTGTGGCTGCTTTTTGGGACACTTGCAATACAGAGTTGACTCAGGGATCCAATACCAGCTTCCAGTTGTGTCCCAGGTTCTCCTTGTTTTCCAGGGCTGGTCGCAACTTGTGTTCCACAGAGCAGAATTGTGGGAGCAGAAGTTCATACTCCCTTCTTACGGCCTCTAGGTGTGTTGGCTGTGTTGTACAACTGTAGCACTGTGGCGATAAAAAATATTTTCCTTGATGTCATATATTATAATAAGTTAGGCTTAAAATCACACTATTTAAAAAATCTAAAAAGTATTTTAGGCAAAGAGTGTTCTACAGACGACCTTAATTTATGGAACAAAATGTAAGTAAAAATTTCCCACACAATGTCTTTGCTTATATAGACCACTTCTTGGGAACGGAAAAATCCCAGCAAACCATTGCACCAGCTGGGGTGGTTTCTGTAGTGCAGAACTGCCAGTGTTTGAAAAAGCTATGTCCCTTCTGGGTCCTAGAGCATGAAAAACTCCTCTGAGAAGACAGAGGACAGGCAATCAGCACATTTTCTGCCTTCTCCTTTGCATCGCTGTCTGCAAGGCCTGCATAATTATCTGAGAGTTGTTTAGGATGTTGTACTCGCTGAGATTCAGCAGCTTGCGGTAGTTCTCATCGGTGTATCTGACCGAGAACATGCAGTAGGGGGAACAGGAGCTGGTCAAATCAAGCTGGCCCTCCTCCATCTCTGAGCAACAGCGCTTGACACCTGGAGAGAAAGAGTTGTTGTTGCTGTGACATGATGTTTATCTTAACCAGTGTCAAACTGTCCATAAAGTGTCAAAGAGCAAGACTTTAATCCTGAAGAAAATTCATAGGGTTTAAATGCAAACAATTCAGGTCACATATTGCCACCCTAGTCAAGAGTACATTGTGAGTCTGAAGTAAGGATGGGCATAAGGGAGAAGGGAGGGATGGCAACATAATGTTCAGCTACAGCTTACACAGAAACATCTGTCTCATTAAAGCCATGGATCAGGCAAGGATGTCAGCCTGAAACGGCACTCCAAAAGCCCCTGTCCATGCACTGCAGCTGGGATTTCTATGAACCACGAACCTCAGTCGAGGAAGATTAATTACTAGTAAGAGAATAGAATTTAAGTGAGAAAGGCGCAATACAAACTTGTGGAAACTGAGAGCTCCTGCAATGTTGAATAAGGTCTAGGGCACCTGCCACCAGAATCCATCTCTGCCTTTCGAATTTCTATGTCACAAAAATTCCACAACAGTAGTATTTTGGGTTTAACCACCCTGCTACCAAGGAGCAGAGCAAATGCACCCTAGTAACCTGCAGTAAAGAAGAGGAGTACAGAACATATGACCTGGCAGAAAAGGAGTGGCAGCCCCTGAACACAGCAAAGTCAGTAAAATGATCCCTGGACTGATCTTAACATTACCTGAGTTCAGCCTGAAAGCCAGGTTCTTTCTCCCCCACCACTCATATGTGACACTATGGTTCCTCAAGTGTAGAATTAAAACCTGAACAGTAGACAATACATGCAGTGCAAAATAATCTGAGAGAGTTGTACCTTTCACAGGAAAAAAGCTTTTGCAATAAGGTTGGACTACTCCAAGTAAGAAATGGGAGAGAGGTGAAGGTAGACACCATCCAGAAGACACAGGCTGTGTAGGTTCTCTTAAGGCCGCAACGAAGACATGAGTGAATATAATAGCTTTGACAGGGATAGGGAAAACAAATTTAATTACCTAAAGTGCTCCCCCATGAACCTAGCGAGCAAAGACAGCCAGCAGCAAAGAAGTCTGAGTCAGGGAAGCAGTGGTGTCTTTTGTTTAATGCTTTGCCACTACGTAACTTACCAGGTGCTTTGTATTCTCGGAAGGTATCATTCACAAGGGGAAGAAAAATCACAATTGGACATCCTGGCAAATCTGAATCTTGGAAGACGTAGCACTCCTTCAGATTTTTCTTATCTTCATCAGTCAAAGAAATTGTTGGGAATGGGATTTTCTGCTCTGAGTAGTATTTACATGCCTTATCTAGAGCCTGGAAAATCACAAAAATAGTCAGCACTGGAAATCAACTTCATTGTCCAAAGGCCCCAATTTCTCATCTACTATTAAGGTTTAGTGACTCAGATCCATAGGGCGAGTTCTGTCTTATCAAGGGTTACTCTGTATATAATTACCACACATGTGACCACATTGCTAATCACAAGCTGTAAACACAATTTCAGAACTAAAGAATTCACCCAGCACACTGTTTTTTTAAAAAAATAATTTAAGCAATTTGCAGAAGTTGAGGGTAAAGCATTAGTTTTAGCAAATGAAAGAGCCTGTGTTAATACATTGTATTGAATTGACTAGAGAAGGAAATCCCAGCAAGAAAATATTTAAGGTATCTTATGTGCTTTGAAGCCAGGAGATAAGAAAGTTAAGTTTGAATGTGCAATTATATCTCTGCCTGTGCAGTCATTATGGCATAGTGTTAATGGAGATTAATATTTTACTGAGAAAATCTAAAGTATTAGGCTATGCTATATCTTTTCCCTGAAATGTTTAATAAAATATCATGTACTAATATGCGCTGTATTACTTACTCTGCACCATCTAACAGCAAACACTATCAAGCAGAAAAAGGTAGGTTTCTACTAAAGTACATAAAATTGTAGCAGGCTTTTTTCATAAGTTTTATCTAGGTAATGAATGAGGCTGAAATAAAACTTCATTGCATCCAACATACAGATTATTAGGAGTAGCACAGCTGTTCGCACTCTCAAAATGAAAGTCTGCTTAGGAAGGCCAAAGTACTTAACAGTGAGTTTTTAACTAACCTCAGTTTCTGACATAAAAAGATCCAAACTTCTTTTCTACCAGCTCTTATAGACTGCTAATTAGCTTTATCTCCACAAAATGGGTTTTCTGCAGGAAGATGCTCATCACTGAATTTTACCCGTAGCGTCTTATTTGTCAGCCCAGAAACTATCTGCTGCTAATATTCAATTAACTCTTTTTAAATTCTGTCTTAAGTCAGAAGAAATAACATCCTCATCTTTATGAGTATCCTGTACACGGTCTGGAAGCCTGCTTGATTCAGCATAAACCAGAAAAGGCTCCTCCCATTATTCTGGAAAAGACTATGCTGACACCCTATTGAATAATTCAACATGTTCATAAACCAGTAAGAAAGAGTCCAGGAATGGCAGGAAGAAATAGGAACAGCATTAATCACTACAGTGAAAAATATAGGGGAATGCAGATAAAGCGAATGGCTGATAAAACCAGCAGTTCTGGATGCTACAGGCTGAGCATTTAAAAATAAAAGGAGATACTACACATGGTAACAAGAACATCCTCACCGATGTATGTGATCCAGTAGTATAACTTAGATAGATGATGACATCCACTTCCCTCTGTGGCCTTAGAAGTGGTGCACTGCTGGTATTGATGAAAAATCCAGCATCTATCATGCCCAGCTGATCAGGATTTTGCATCAGCTGGTTGGGGCGTGAGTCTAACACAGTGTCTAAAAGGAAAACATTTTTTTAATAAGAATAGGTCTGTGGGTATTTTGACTAGAAAAAGAAGTGTAAGGTGCAACTGATCATTCCAGAGGCCTGGCCTTTAATTGCCACACTACTAAATCATCAAACATGCATGAGAAGGACTGCAAAACACCTAAGTTCCTGTTCTGAAATGACTGTGTTGAGTTTCCAGGCAATATACATCATTGTCATGGCACACCTATTAGTGACAAGAAGCTATGTCTAATAATTAACCTAAATCTGCCTCGCTTCATTTCAGTCATTGTTTCATCTTTTATCTATCACCGTTTTGGAGAAAAAAGTATTTTCAATCCTTTATATGTTTGGACTTATGCTTCCTACTGAGTCTCCTCTTCTTTGGACTAGAAAGCCCCATTCCTTTCCAGTTTACTCTTATAGGCGAAATTTTCTTGGCTATTTCAGTTGCATCTGATGTTAGAGCTATAATCTGTCCAAATTAAGCTTTCTCCCATGTTCATTCTGCTCTCTGCCACTTTAAATTTTGTTCTGCCAGCTTTGAGTCTACCCTCTCAGTCTGAACTGCATAGGTCTCAGCTGAAGCAAACAAAGACAAAGATTAAATCCTCAATACCTGGCAACACTGAGGTCTTAGTGTCTGCTCTCTATTTAGAAAATAAATGCTCTCTTGGGAGGTTTTTATGCCCTGCCAAGTCTGACAGGTTTCTTTCCTAAATTCCCCACCCCAAAACTCCCTGAAACGATGTCAGTTAAATATTAGTTGCCATCACCTTTCCACCGACAGAAGTGCTCGTTCTCCATGTAGTTGTTATGCAGCTGGTAGCCCTTCAGGAAATTGTGGTGCTGGGCGACGGAGAAGCGGTCGGTCAGTGCTCCCCGAAGGGCGCTGGACAGGGGGCCAGGGGGGGTGTACATGCGAGTCCTCAGCTCGTGGGGTCTTGTGGGCAACACCGGGTCTTCATCTAGAGGAGGGGAGAAAAACTGGTGAACTGCTTGGTACCTTATGTTCCTTTCTGGCTGCCCTGGTGCAAAGGAGTTCTCAGGGGCTCTTCTGGGATGATTCACTTAACACGCAAAAGCTCTTCTGAGGGAAAGGAATGGCTGCTGGACAAAGCTCTGCTGATGGCCTTAAGCTTTGGCCTGAAAACAGCTCATCAGAAGCAATCTTTAGTCATGGAAAAAGGACACCTTAAGGAAATTAAACAATTCAGAAAATGTTCTGTCAGAACTTAAATATCCTTATAGGAAGATAACATGAAACAGAGGCAAGCATGGAGAAAATGGGGCTGATGAATATGCTACTGCTCAGTCAGTTGGGCAGTAACAGCAACCACGGGGTCCATTGCAACAGTGACTGCTGCTACCCAATAATCACTCATGGCTACATGAGCACATGCTTAATCAGCAGAGTGAGAGTACCCCAGGAAAACCTGGGGTATACATTCATATTCAGAAACTATGGCTATTTTAGGGGGTGGGTAGATGGCATATGGGTGAAAAGCAGAAATATGGCACAAGGTGTGGTTTCTAGAAATGACAGTGTGCTTTGCCAGCCCGAGAGGCTGACAGTGAAGAAGGAGAGACTTGGTGGTTTCCACAATTACACATTGTATTTCTGTGTTTTTCAGGATGTCTGCAATAATAGTTACAATCATATCAAGTGATTTAGCAATAAAATCACAGTTTCTGTATTGCTTCAGAAAATACCCTCTGGGCTTCATTTATCTTTGTGTCAGTTTGAATACAATACAGTAATCACTGTACTGAGTAATTAAATAAAAACCCAAGAAACATTGATTAACCAGTTGATATTAAGGTGCATTCTCCTCATAGGCAGTAAAAAGTACCATATTCTCTGCTGTTGATTTTTGGTTCTGTATGGCTAAGTGAGAGCTGTAATGCCAGAACGCTTCCTGAGAAATGTCTGACCCCTCTACAGCTTCCTCTGAAGGAACCAGTAGAGCTTTAGCAAATGTTGTAATTGTAGCAGCTTTTCCCTGATTACCCACTTCCTCTTACTCTATTCAGTGTAAGAAGTCACTATCTCTTAGTAAGATCCTATAATGCCAGCTTCAGCAAAGTTGACAAGATGATGCCAAAAGTCATATAGGAAAATAAATAACCATAAATGAAAAGCTTAGTAATTTCTCACCAACTTCATCTATTCTGTCTTGTGTCCATCTCTTCCAGAAGTCCTCTGAACTGTGGGACAGTCCCCATATTTGTAAAAGGTTCACAGAAAATATACTGCTCCACATACCTGTAAAAGGAATTAGTGAACAGAAGGACGTATTTTAATAAGCAAATGCCCTTTTCCTTCTATCTTGATCTCCTGGCTTAATTTTCAAATGGGCTTAATGCAAATATTTCTAACCTTCCATGCTGTTAAATTCCTCTTAACACTCTCTGTCATTGATTCAAGTCATGCTACTACCAACTTTGTGCCTAACCTACTACATGGCTCTGCCACATGGTAAAGAGAGCAAAGAATGTGAAACAAGTAAAGGAGAAAAAAACCACACTTGCTCAAGAGGCAAAATAAAGAATTCAGGTAACATATACACCACAAACACATAATTTCCATCCACATAGTCCTTTCTCCAGCTTGTCTTTTTCTGCACTTACTCTGATCATTAACTCTTTCAAACACCTTGAATTGTTTCACAAGGGGATGAACTGGCTTTTCAGGTGTTTGTAAGACAAGATCTCACATCACAGCTTGTAAAGGCTCACATATGCAGTGGGCTCCAGCTCCACTGTGCACTTTTTCTCCATCCAGGATTACCCCTCTCTGCCTCACCACAGGGGCACTGGTGGCTTTGTTGACAAAACAGAATGCCACTATATCACCAGTCATTGTAAATTTAAATCTGACTATCACAATTGGACTTAGGTTGGAGTGCATTCAGAGAGGAATCAGAAGAATAACCAAAAAAGTGGGAGCTATTACTTACAATGAAAGAATTAAGGATCTTCATCTATTCCATCTCTAAGATACAGACAACTCATCTACCAAGACAGTGACAAGAAACTGAAAAAATATGTGTGTTTTTTTAATGTATTCTTGTGGATAAACTACCACTCCCATTTCCCAGCAGGCCGGATTCAGTATGTTAGGACAGAACTATCTACTCACTGTTTAACAGCACTACACCCTCCAAAGTGCCTCTGTGCCAGGACAACACTATACATCACCTTGAAGGTAGCAGATGCGGGATTCGGGGAGCTTTTTTAACATACGGCCCATGAAGAACTCGCTTCCGAAATGCTCCGTGCGAACAAACGCGCCGTACTTCAGCAGTCCCACCTCGTAGGGAGTGAACTCCACCCACTCTGCAAAACAGCCACAAGAGGACACTCAGAGGGCTCCCAGAGAGGTGTGGGGAGAGGGGAAGTTTGGGCATACATTGGTCTGAGTTATGTTTAATATGTTGCCTTTGCAAAGCCTCACTCTTAAACGCAGATTTCCAGGGAGGGGTCTGAGCTTGGGCATGGTGGTGATGAGGAGGCAGGAGCAGTTGTGCTGGTCGTGGCGGTGCTGCTGGTGGCACAAGTGGCACACTGGGGGCACGGCAAGGCTCCAGGCCTTGCACAACCCGTGTGCACACACCAGTCCAGGGTTTTCCAGCACCTATGTAGTTTTGCTCTGCCCTTCCATATGCCATGTCCAGGTGACCAGTACTTCACCAATACAGTTAATTTATCTTCCCTAAATAATTGTTTATGTACAAAGATGGGTACTCAGCTCCTCAGAAATTATTTTTTCTGTAAGAGACCAGTTACAGTCTCTCTGTGTGGTACTAATGGAAACAGAATCAGTCCTTGACTTTCTTAGATATCCTATCCAAGTGAAGTACAGTTGTCTGATGTAATTGCAGCATGAGTGAAAATTGGGGCAGAAATGTCATGGACTGTAATTTCATTTTCATTTCAGAAATGGTTCATTTTCTTGCCTCAACAATAAAAAGTTTGATCTGAATTTTTCTCTTCCCCTTCTCCTCCTTCTGATCCTCCATAGGAAAGAAACACAAACAAAACAATGAGAAAAGCAACAAATTCAGCTGGGAGCCTTCCCAAACTCAACCATAACTATGTGGTCATTCTTCATACTGAAACAATAACTGGCCATTAAGAAAAAAGAAATTATTGGATAATTCCAATATTTCTCAAAATGGCCTTTCTGGCAGAATTTCTACTGTATATGTTGAGAGAGCAAAGTGCTGCTCCCCAAAACCCTTGTATTAAAATGGTAAGGCATGGAGGCGATGGTTATTTCTCCAAAAAGCAATTAACACATTAGGATTGTTTTCTCCAAGTGCTACCAAGAAGAAAAGAGTGATGACAGGAATTCAGCTGCCAATTTTAGCCTCAGAAGGTTCGATACAACATCCTTACCTTTGAAATCATTGGTGCTGTAGCTGTCCCGGACACAGACTGACACATAGATGGGCAGTGGGTTCTGGCCATCACACAGTGCTTCTTGCTGGTCTGAAAGCCTGTGGGGGTCTTTCTAGTTTTGAAGAAAAAGTGTTACATGAGAGGAGATGGAAAGGGCACATGGTGAATTCATTGTCCCTGGCACAGGAGGAGCCAGGCGGCTCCACCCCCAGTACACAGGATGTGCCCCAGCTGCTCCACCACACAGAGCACTGCAGGTACCCCCACCAACCATCACAGACCAGGCTCTCAGACTCCAGCCTGACTTTGTGCATGGATTCACAAAAAGATAAGGAGGGAGACAACTATTTCTGCACACGTCTATGATTGGGTGAACTAAAACTACTACAATATGCTCTTTTGTTAACACAGAGAATTCCCCTCTGCTTTGAGGTACATTCTCTGAAATGATGGACTAGTTTCCCTCTAGGGAAAAACACACCGTTCTTTAAGATATGGAATAGACATCATACCCCATCGTTTAGTAAGTACTCGATCATGAGACCCCAAAGATCTATAAATGATGTCCTGTATCCCTCTTCTTTCCGCTGGCAAAGCTGCTTGTTGTAGTATTTCATGCGATCCATAGAGAAACAGCCCATCTTGCATTTTGTTGCTTGTTTTTGGGCTTCACCAATATGTGAGTCCAGGTCCCTCTGTGACCAGTAGGCATCTCTGTATAAGTTGGCCATGGTCCTGGAGAAAGACAATACAGACAGCAAAAGTTAAAAGGAGCAAAAAAAGACTGGAAATTTTGTGTTTTCAGAACAGAGGTTTACATTTAAGGATTCCCTTCTGCTCACACATACTTTGGTTTAGTTGCTCCATCCAGCAGAATGAACACTTTGAATTTCTATGACTGTTTTAAAAAATGGCCCTGAAGAATGAGGTTGGGTTTTTATGTTCTTAACCTTTTTTATATTTTTTTTAAGCAGAACAGGCATAAGCTTAAGGGATAAAACTGCAGGTGTGAACATATATATATTTGTAAATCACAAACTAGGCAGTAAATGATAATAAATTTCCTTTGTATTTCATAACCTTAAATTCATTCATATTATCTGCTGTGTCTTGCCTTGATTCACTTATTGTTAATCTTATGATATCACTATGCTTTATTTTAACATCAGCCTTTATTTTACCAACCTCCTCTGCATGGGACAATCAGATATTAGGCAGCTGTAGGTCCTGTGAGCAGGGAATAACACTGCCCAGGGAAACACAAAGCTGGCAGGTTGCAGGGGTCAGTGTGTACTGTCCAGCAGTTTTTTCCAGCTAGAAATCACAGCCAGTATCAGAAGCTAATGGGACCACAATAGCTGGGATTCATTGGAGAAAGGAAGAGGGATGATGCTATGGGCATCCACAGTTACATCCACAGTAACTACTCTACCTAGAAAGCATCTTGATGAGTGAAACTGTCATATGCACATTTAACTGTTGCACACGTGGAGTTGATAAGCACAGTAAAAAACTGCTTATAGAAAAAGCGTGCACCAAACCAATCTAGTATTTAATGGCCTGTTACTGAGAAACTTTTGTATATGATGTTTGAAGAAAATCTCCTGATCTTGTCTGCTTTTAGAAGCTACTCTCTGCAGCAGTGTGACCCTCAGAATGCCTGGTCAGGCCTCCTGCTCGAGCTGGCTTACCATGTGGTGCCGGACAGCCCGCTGATGTATGTTATACAGTCCAGGAGATTTAACTTCTTGAGTCCCATGAGGCTGCCATACAACCCTGTCATTGACTTCAGTCCTCCGCCTGTTGTGATGATAGCCACGACGGGGACCTGTTGGGCAGAGGGAGGATGGGACATTCATGCTGGCAGCATTCAACATTGCATCCCACACTGCAATGGGGTCTGGTCACCACAGCCAGCCCAAGTCCTGATCTCAGAGCCAAGGTCCCTCTTTAGAAGGAAAGACTCCAAAACCCAGTAAAAACTGCTACTGTCACTTATTTCCCTTTGGATAGACATGGGCTCAGAGATTAACGCAAATATGGATTTGTGCCCATCTCTAGGGCAAATACAGGCACAGACGAACAAGAAGAAACCTTCCATGGAAGCAACAATGCATTTTCTATGCATTTCTCACTCCACCATTCTTCTTATTTCATTACTTCTGTATGAAAACCTGCATGTCGATCCCATGAAGAAATATACTAATTTCATAGCTACTGGTAAGCTAGCCTCAGCTGCTATTCTTCAGTATCTTGAGGTTATCTTAAAATAAATTTCATCTGTTTTAAGGAATTTCAAAACTGCAAGAAACAAAGATGTAAGAAGCACTCAAAGATGTTTGTCCTAAACTCTCACAAAGTAGTGAAATTGGAATAAGGGAAAAAAAAATCTTTGCTGTGTAAAGTATTCAGTATTTCTGAACCAAGGCAGTGACAGCTCAGCCTGGCAGGAATGAACACACCTCAGCTATGAAAAAATCCAAATTGATAGTAATGAAGGATGGTGACTGCAACTAGTGTTTTCAATAACAAACCTTGGCAGCAGAAGCAAATGTAGTTAAGACACATGGACCAGCTGGTACCTGCACAACAGATAGGTGTGGCCTGTTTTGCTGACCACTCATTTACAGGAGTACATAAAAGCACCAGAGATTCAAATTCTATCCTCTCAGCACACACGTACTTCTTGATCCTGCAGATCATGTGGTAGGTGAAAAACATTTTTGAGAGCACTTGCTACATATCTCTTTCTTTTCCCCAGGAAAGTCATCTCTTCAGAACATAAGTTAAAGCCAAAGCGCATGTCCAGGTCTTGGTGGCATGAACAATTACTAAGATAAAAACAGACACATATATTAACACACCCATATCAATCTTAGGACGTTGATTAAAGATAATCTATAGCACCCTTCCCTTCAAACAGGATGATGCAACATGACAGGAGCAAGAGAGAATTATTTTACTATTTTTAAAAGTATGAAACTCATGTCAATTAGTAAGACTAACTAGTGGCATTATTCCTAATTATTGCTAATTGGAAGAAATAATGTACAGTATTTACAAATAAAAAATATTTAAATAAATATTCTACAACTAAAAGATTGACAAGTTTAGAAAATCCATGGAAATGGTCAAAAGTGAAAGTACTGATTCCCATTTCACAGGTTATTTTCTCATTGAAAATCTGAAATAACACCCAATTTTCAAAGGCTGGCATATTCAATGTGGCTGACAATTCTCCTTTTGAGCAACTGGAGTGGGAAAGCATCCCCCTCTAGCGGTGAGCGCTGCTGGGGCGGGTGGCCGTGGAACCCAGCTTGCCGGAGAGACCTCGGTGACATCCAGCCCCTGGATGGGCAGAGAAGGGTCACCGGGCAGGATTCCACCCCTGCTGCTCTGTTCTGCCTACACGTGCACAGGCTGTTTCAGGGCTCAACGCTGGAAGTTTTATTCCACATCAACCTAGACTCAAACATTGTAAGGCACATCTTCTCCCAGAGGAAGATTTCACTGGAGTCTATTTTGAAATTGAATAAGTCATTGTTTAAGGCCCCACAATTGTAGTTTATTTCCCTGGGCATTTTTGCTCTTCTGCTCACTAATCCCCCTCCTGGTTCTTCCTGCCTTGCGCCTACAAGACATCAATAGGCAAGAGATGGTCATGGTCAGGTCAGAGCTACATTGCCAAATGCCAGGGGTTTGCTTTTTCTTCCAGTGACAAAACCTCTCTCTTCTACTGGGTCTGTAATTTCTGTGAAACTAGTAAAGAAATTTAATTATGAGCTTTCTCCACCACCAAATTTGGATAAAATCAAATTTGGATAAACTATAATAACCTTATTTGTAAATGAATTCACACAGTAAAATTGAGTTAGATGGGGCTGCAAAAGCCTGTTTCTATTGTAAATCAAGATCCAAACAAACTGTTTCTAAAGTTCTCTGAAAGTAAAATAAATAAGCAGGAAGTGTTTTTCCTGTTGTGGAATAACACTGATTTTCCTGTTATCATTGACCACTTGATGTTTTTAAATGAATTACAGAAAACTCCATTTAAATTCAAAATTATTCTTTTCCTTTTATTAGCCAGACACACACACAAAAATGCCACTTTGCCCAGTTCTGTGTATTCCATATAGCTATGGATAACCTGAAGTATCTCCATGTTTACTGATGAGTATTAAGGAGCATGTCCACTGATGTCAAACCACAAGTTTACTTGTCTACCTTAGTTTCTACTCAATATATAGTGTAACTGGACTTAACAGAATACAAGGTTCATCACCACTGAATATTGACAGTAATACAAAAAATAATTCTTAATTCCTTTTTAAACAAAATGTTTACATTTTGTAAAACTACTGACTACTCTTTTTTGTCATTGTCAGCTAGCATTGTTCTTCTTGTGAATTTCAGAGACTGACATTGACCAAAGAAAATATTCTGTGGTCTGAAGGAAAGGGATAATGCTGAAATAAACACATGTTTATTTTAATGCTTTATCAACTGATTAAAGCCAAATCTTCCTAAGGTTAATTATGTATTATATATTATGCATGTATTTATGTTTTATTATAAGCATATTCCAGTTTTCTGACTGAGAATGCTTGCTTGTGTCATTTCCATGTGGCTAAAACAATACCAAAATCAATGAATCAAGTATAAAGGAATAGAATAAAATCTCTTACCAAGTTTTTGCTGTCACATTCAAATCAAATCTTTTCTCCTGGAAAACAAGAATGTGTAATTTTTAAATTTTAAATTTTCTATTTTCCCTTTCTGTGTTGGCATCAGAGCTTGATTTATAACCCAGCAAGGTCTGGCAATCACAAACTTAAATATCTGATATCTTAGCATATATTTCCAAAAGCATTCACTTATTACTAGTGGAACATCCCTACCTAAATCCTTCCAGGCTGCAGAAACCATTAAGCATCCTGGTATAAGAGGTTTCTGAGACTCACACAGTAGATCCCATTTCCTGTATGACTCATAAGCTTCCTGCAGCATCCTGAATTACCATTTTTGTGTGTTTTCCATTCTTTACACTCTAGTACCCAGCACATCTTTGACATCCTGGCCACAGTCTCAGTGAAGAGACTGCAAAGTCTGCATTTGCTTCTGCCCACACTTTATCCTCTCTTAAAAATCATTATTTCAATCTTCATATTAAGTTACAAAATGTGCTTTGTTCTGAGAGGCTATCTTACTGGTTCTTTTAAATCAATATTCTCATTATATTATTTAAAATACATACCCTATGACTAATATTTTCAGCATATTTCAATATATTGTCCTCTAAAATATATGGTTGACAGGTTTATTGATGTTTTCCTTTTCTGTGTTGGAAAGGCAACTTTCAATTTGGACCCTAAGCAAAACGAGAGTCAGAGTCTTTGCGTAAACAGGGGGAGATGTTCTGAAGGAAGTATTTCTTACATCTTTGTAGGTCTCTGTCTCCACTACTGGCATATAATGGAGATTAACACAGGGACAATCTGCCTCTGTGGAGAAAACATCTGGAGGAACAAAGGTCCTTTTTTCTCAAAGTGTAATAGAAAATCAGAACACTTCTGACACTCTTAGCAGCCATCTGGGACAACCTTATGAGGAATGGTTTCTATTTGAGCGACCCTTTATTACCATCACCTGCAATGGATGCTTACCTCTGCAATGGTCGTCTTCCTTCCCATGGGCAGCGAGTTCAGCATCACGACTGGGGAGCCCGTCTCTGTACTGTACCTACAGGACCACTGGGAAAACAACATGCTTTAGGACACAACCAGGAACAGGTTTACCCTCTCTTCTTCCTCCCACTCCCTCTCTTTCTTGAGAGCCACTCAAAATCCCTCCACCACTGAGGCCACTCCAACATACAGGGTGGTAGCGCCTCTTCTTTGGCAGCATGACATCCAGCGTTGGCTCTGCGTACTTGATGTAGTGGAACTCGGTGGGACACGACGGGCTGACAACTCCATTGGGGCCCAGCACGATATCCTGCGTCCCCTCAAAGGAGCCCTTCACAGTGAGGGAAAGCTCTTTCTCTAAAGCAGCAAAACAAAGATCATGACAAATGTGAATATCATTAACCAGAAAAATATGCTAGCTTGATTAAAACGGGGTGCAAGTGGTATAGCTTTGCCCAGGACAAAGTGCTGGCACTTCAAGGAAAAGAGCAAAGTGGATGCTTTTCTGATAGAAAGGGGACTCTGAATATTTCTGCTGTGATATAGAACTGGGATTTCAACTTTATTGTGCATTTAATAGGCTTTATTAACATATATCTACATGAGGTCATGGGAGTCTATAGCAACCTGATGTGTTTACCTGACATTAACTTCACTGAATACTGTAAGCACTATTTATTTCACTAACACATTACATGGAAGGGGCATCTTCTCATAAGTGAGCATGCAATTACTGGTAAATTGATGACAAAGCAGTAACCTTACTTGATTTTTGCTTCGTCTTCTCTGCCACTTCAACTTCCAAGCAGCAAAGTTCACGACACTGTCAAAGACAGATTGCAGGATTTTGTGAGAAAGATCATCACATCCCATCCCCATTATAGGAAGCTGTGGACCCCTCAGCTTGGAGTCACTTGGAGTTCTGAATTCCCTGGCATCTGTGGGTTTTTTCCCATTAGCTTCTGACTAAAGAAAAGGAAAAGCTTTAGAGGGAGTTGTAGGGATCGCATGTGTGACAATGACTTAAGACTGAGCACAGTGAGAGGAATATATACAAAGAAACTCAGGACCATTTTCATGATAGTAGCATAAACACAAAGGGTTAAACTAGGAAATAAATAAAGATACGTCACTGAGAGATCACGAGTCAGTAGTAGGAAGGGTTTTGTGAAAAAGCGTTGCTTTTAGCATTTTTTTTTTTTTTTTTTTTAATGGTGCTAACTCTTCTTCAACATAATGTGTTTTTGACAAGTCGCAACTCACCCACAGAGCATGGCTCATCTCCAGGGGAAGGAAAGGGCAGGGTAGATTACAATGTGAGTTCTCAGCCTTTTTATATTGTTGTCTTCTATAAACAGCAGTACACTTCTTTAAGTACTAGTACCAGAAAAAGACTCTGTCTCTGTGTGTGTGAGTGTGGTGTGGTGAACTATAGGAAAAATCAGAAATAGGGAAGTATAGGGTAAATGGGATATCTCCAATGAACAGGTAAATAAAATATCCCGTTCTGAATGTATCTAAATAGGAAAGAGGAAAGAAAGATAAAGAACTAGCCTACTGGCTTCTTTAACCCCTACCCTCCCTTTCCCTTTCCATTAAGGAATCACTTATAGAAAATATCTTGGGAAAGACACATACCACCAGCACTCCATTGCTAGCAATCGTTTCATGAGGACCAGGTCTGGGAAAAAATTAAAAACATGGATTTTTAAAAGTTAAACAAATCCTGCTCATCTGTACCCAGGATGTTACCCTTTCTTTCCACTTAAAAAAAACCACAGTCTGAGGGGACCCCAGCAAGCATGTTTCCTTTCCTTGCTTGCATGGATTGAGCACTGCTCTGAGTAGACTCATCTTTGTACAAAAGCTGGGCAATGTGTAACATGGTTATTTTTTTACAGCGCAATCTCATGATCATCTAAAATGGAATCACCTGTTAGACAGTCAAATTTTTCTCACTGTAACATGTGAAATAAATGTATTTCAGCTGATACACCACCATGTCCTTTTTGGGAAGACAATTATATGTATTTGCTGGCATGCAAATATTCTGAGTTGTAAGGGACCCATGAGGATCACCAAGTCCAACTCCTGGCCCTGCACAGGAGAACCCCAAGAATCACACCACGTGCCCAAGAGCATTGTCCAAATGCTTCCTGAACTCTGGCAGGCTTGTCCAAATGCTTCCTGAACTCTGGCAGGCTTGGTGCGGTGACCACTTCCCTGGGGAGCCCGTTTCAAAGTGGCACAGGGCAGCCAGTACCAATTACATGGGAGAAAAACCCAAAAGCTTTCCAGAACATTCAGGTGAAGTCAGGAGACGGTGTGGAGCAACTTGACTTCTGGCCTTGGCTCTCCAATAGCATGAGAGCTGGCCTCAGACTAGTCGCTTTATTTCTGCCGTGCCTTAGTTACCTTGTGGCAACACAGAGACAAAAATGGTGATTCATGAGTTCCCATCCCATTGTGATTGTGTTAGGCAGAAAGAAAACACAATTACTAGGATTCAAAGAGTACTGCAAGGGAAAACTAAAGGAATTGGGGATACACTGAAAACCTAGCTAGTATGTTTCAACACTAAAACTGTGTCCAATACATAACCTGAAACAGGCAAGGAAAAATTGATAGGCAGGAATGCTTGCACACTCAGCCTTCTGGAATGTCCCCAGGTAGATAAATCATAGAACAGTTTTGGTTGGAAGGGATCTTAAAGGTCATCTAGTTGCAATCCCCTGCCATGGGTAGGAACAACTTCCTTTACGCTAGGTTGGTCAAAGCCCCATCCAGCATGACTTTGAACAGTTCCAGGGATGGGGCACCCACACAGTTCTCTGGGTAACTGGTAGCTCTCTCGTTGAGAGCAGCTAAGCTAGAGAACAAGCTAATCCATCAGGTGTTGGGGACTGCAGCAATAATGTAGGAGAAGGCTGGAACTTTTTTTACGGAAATACCCAAAGCATGACTTCTAATACTGTTTTTTTGTTTTATCATTAATGGCTTTAGCGTTTTTAATATAATGTCTGTATCACTTACGCAAGCTCCAATTTGAATTCAACCTCTAGCTCCTCCTTGGCCTGAAAGCAAGAAGAAGATATTAAATGAAGTAGATACATAATGCATTATCCCTAGTCTAAACCCAAGTCCCTGACAGGCAATATTGAAGTTACTGGTTACAATGAGTAGCCTGTGATAAATACTTCAGACTGGGTAGTCTGAATCAACACTTCAGCCAGATGATTAAATAATTCCTTCCTCATCTCCTTCTGACTTCATAATATCACCAAAACAACCTATACTTAGAGTGAAGCTGCTGCAGAAAAACGATTTGCAACTTCCTTTATTTTCTGAATTCCACCCTTTTCTTCCAACTTTTCCTGGCACTGTCCTGCCATGACTTACTGTACTGGCTAATATCTTGGAAATTAAACATACTTTACACCCATTTTTTACCATAATAAAGAGAACAGTACAAATGAGTGATTCAGAATTCGTGTTATGCAACCCCGAGTAAGGAAGCGTTGATGTGTACAAGCTGATTGTGAACGACCTAGTTTGGATACCAGAATCTGTCCCTGGTAGCAAGAAGTTGTATGTGAGCTATTTTGCTGATCTCATCCTTAAATCTCAAATGGAATTAAGATTATTTTTCCCATTGTATAGATGGGAAACTGAGAAACAGAGTGAATTGTCATCCATTCATAGGGGGATACACACAGGGGCAACTTGATTTCTGCCTTTTGGGGTGAAAGTAGACACAAGCAAAGGGGCAGGGGTTTATGAATTATGGAAATTACTCAGGTTATGAATTACATGGAGAAAAAAAAATTAAGATTATTCACCCTGCAACAGCTGTATGGCCTTGGTGTTGCTTAGAGTTAGCTCACAATTAGATCCCTCCCCTACCTACTGCACTGTTTAGTCTTATGGTCTTTAATAATTTATAAAATATTGCAAAGAAGAGTTCAGACTCTCAAATTCAGATTATAACCACATTTTTGTGGTTATAATTTGAATGGCAATTAATGTACTCATTATTGGGATAAGTAATCCATGGCAGGTTCAGAAAGATTTTGAAACTGTTCTATTACTCTCCACTGGTTTCTTGGTTGCTTTAGTTGCTTAGTTGCTCTTACATCTGCACTAGGCTTGAAGGACAGGATCACTGTTCTATCAAGTGGAAGTTTAGCAGTATCGAAGAGGGCACAGAGGAGATGGTCATCTGGAGTAGCAAAATCCTCATCATACACTGTGAGCTCCAGCACATTCTGGAAAAAGAGGGAGAAGAATTTGTTATAGTTTCTCAGGTTGGACATCATTAGCTCCAGGCAAAAAGTATTGCTGAGGATGAGCTTGAGAAGAAAAGTTGAGAAATTAAACCTCATCCCCCTTTAGAAAAACATACTTGAACTGCATATTAATTCTTGCCTAGTTCATTTTAATTGTTGTGACAAAATACATTTGCTATAGGTATACAATAGCTTGGGTAACTCCCAGATTCTGTATCCATCTTGTAAGAGTCTCTTGTTTCCCTAAAACTTCAAAACTCAGCTCATTTTCTGGCCCTCTGGCACCATTGAACAGACACAAGAACTCTGTCATCTCTGCTGTTAAATGCTTTGAGCAGTCCTGTATCGTGTGCCACCTCTTAAACAATTCCTGGGCACAATTCAGGAGACACACACACAAAATCTTTAGGCTGCTTCAAGCAGAAAACTTTGGCTCCTTACCTTGACCTGACTTTGGATCCTGAAGTAGAAGGTTTCGTTCCACACTGGATTGTCAGAGTTTCTCACAGTTTTAGTGCGTGACCTCTCAGATGTCGCAGTCGGCAGCCACAAGGACACATAGCAATCAGCCTGGCTTACTGGGCAGGGGAGAGGCAAAACAATTGCTAATCGGCAAAGGTAGCAGAGCTGCAGGACACTGGAGAGGTTACTGCAGCAACTGGTACCAAAAACAAGACTAAGTTATTTAAAGATAGAAAAGTCTGATGCAGTGTAACACCGGAAAAAGCACCGGCCACAAGATGACCTAGAAGAGGAGGTGGCTTCTGTTCTTCCTTGTATGAGTTACAGACAACAGTGATCTGGTGTATTAAAAAAAAAGGTTGAGAATTTTTTCTTCTAGTCAGCCACTTTAGTTTCTCAGCTGACAAGTTTTCCTGTGCTTATCTCTGCATGCACACACGCGCACACACACACACACAAATCCTGAGCTGCTGTCTGATAAGAGGGGTTGGGACCCTCCACCACTTTTTGAGAACAACTGCAAAAGGTCTTCTCTGCCTTGCCCTCAGTGATGTTCTTTGCGAGGGTTTGTGAAAGGAGCTGCAGAGCTACACCTGCTGTAGGAGATGGCAGCAGCTTCCTGCAGAAGGAGCTCACTGAATTAGACACTGGAATTTAACTAATTGCCACCTACAGGAAGAGAGGGACCAAGCTTCTCTCCCAAAAGGCACCAGGAGAAAGTTAGTGAAGGACTTTACATCTCCTTTCTTACAGGCACCTAAATTAAGGTATATCTCAAACAGCTACAGGCAAAAATGCCATTTACTGTGTTTCTTCTTAAAGGTTATACAAGGTACTTTGGCACCTTGAAAACCTCTCTGATGCATTTCTCAACAATAAAATTATCATCTATTATGTAATGCAAAAGGTAACTAGCTTTGAGAATGGATGTCCTGTGACATATTCCTACTGAGTAAAAAAAAATTCTTCTGATGGAAAAGTTTGTTTGGAAAATATTGAGGAGGCCCTAGCCTTCTGCTGGCCTGCTCTATTTCACATTTCATATCTTAGTTTGGCTTTAAAAATTAGATTCTGACTGCAATTTCACTGTCCTTGTCTAGATTCATATCATCTGCTTTAATTCTACCTTCCCACCACTCTTGTTTCTTAGCCTCCTTGTGAAAAATGACTCTTTATTCACCTTCTTTGCCTCTTCCTTTTTGTAGCAAAAGCTTCCATGTCCTCCTCAAATATTTCACTTACACTCTTAATGACTGTAGCCTATTCAGTCCCTCTGGATGTAAAAATTGTTTCAAGTTATTCTGATTCCTCGAGTGTTTTTATTAATTTATTTTTAATCTGGGAAATTTCATGAAGATAATAATGTTTTGATGAATTTTGAAACTGCAAAAATATGTATTTGAATATATTTTGATAATCTAGAAGTAATGCTACTATTTTAAAATGCATTAAAAGTGATTTTTTTAAACTACTATATGACTTTGGTTTTATAATTTGAGATCAATGACTGATGGCTGTTTGGCTGGCAAGTACTTTATTCTGCTGATGTGATTCGTCATTCCTGTATATCTTAACTGTACTTTGAGATACAAAGCATATCAAGCAATCCTTAATTATATGAGTAGATGCAGCCAAATTAGTCAGCTGTGTATTTAATGCAAAATGTTGCCTCAGTTCTGCTTGCACAATCTCTTTCTACAACCTCATTATTTGCCTTGTTGCCGGACACGCAGAAGATGAGTCCCTGATGAGACCTCTTTGTGTTCTTGCTTCACCTCACATGTGCCACAGCCATGGGCCAGGTGGGAGGTGCAGAGCGTGCAGCCCAGTGATGTGACCTAGGATACAGCTGTTGTCTCCCTCCCTCAGAGCTGTGACACAGGGAAGTCCTCTGATACATCTTCCAGAAAAACACGTGAAAACCACAAGGTAAGACAGGAATGGTACTGCATGGTAAGTCCAGATCTTTGTGTCTCAAAAGATCTTTCCTGATTCTTCATGTGCAAGACATTATAGAGCCAATCAATGCTGCTCATGGCAAAACAGGAGAATCAAGAGAATCATGAGGGTTACATATCAAACTAATTTCAGCATCCTTTCACAGGTAGTCACATAGCTCCATTTACTCAAACAAAACAAACTCTTAACTTGTCTGTTTTGTGTGGAACACCTGTCCATAGTGCACATGTTCTTTTAAGAAGAACATAGTCCATGTTCTTTTATGAAACAGCTGTGTTTTCCTTTCTAACTTACTCCCTTTCCACCACTTTCCTGCCATGTGACTCACACTCTTGCTCAACTGCAAGACTGCTGCAGAAGCCTTAGAAAGGATCAAGCATCCAGCCGTCAGTTAGTGTTTTTTTAACTGTCCTCAGGGTAATTAATGATGGCATTAGCATGGTCATAATGATTGTAAAAAGCTTTTTCCTGTTCAGTTCCTCTTTGTCAAAACCAAGACTGAGGATGTTGAAAAGGTTTACTCCTCCCAGCCACATTTCCCAAGGTGCTACAACCCATCAGCAGAATTACCCCTTGTTTTTGAAAACATGGAATGGAGTCTTTCAACTACCTCTGTCAGAAACTCTCCTTTCTTTGACAGAAAGTACTTATTCCCAAAAACACATTCAAGTCTTGAAACCAGTCAAGACAGAAAGCACAGGGAGAACAATGAAACAGCAGCAAGGGCTGACCTGGTTTATAACAATTAATTTACATAAAGAATGGGTTATTTCAGAAACACTAAGAAAAGGTCATTAAAAAATTATAAAAGACATAATTTGCCTGTTTCCTGAGTTACCATTAAGAATGGGGATACTTACAGGCATCCACTCTCTGGAGATTTCTCATCCGGATGATCCTTACGGTCAATAGGTAGCAAGGAGAGGATTCTATCTAGAGAGGAACAGTAAAAAGGGGTTCTGAATAAGCCTTTGGTGGGAAAAAAATTCAAATGTTCAAACTAACTGGGTGCCACAAAGTACAAATACAGTTAGTAAAACTTAGGTCAATTATATCACTATTTTGCAGAATGAAGCTTCTGCTGTTAAAAATATCTTAACCTTTTATATATTTCACTCTATTTGCTTTGTTACTTTGAGATTCCAGATTGCTCATCAGAGCAGAAAAGACTCTGAATTCCAAAAAGGAATAAATCCCTGATAATTTACACAGCCTGTGGGATGCTTGCAAAACCTTTCACTCTGAAATTGCTGAGTCTAGTCTACAACATAACTACAGTAAGTCTCTGGAACAGATTAAATGCACTGGTGGGCACCATGATGAAGTTGTCAAAATGCCATCAAGTCTTAATCAGAGTTACAGTCAATCCCCCTAGGAACCATCCATATGGTCCTGTAGCATTGAAAAAAATGCTGTGGCGAATATCTGTTGTTGTGGACTCTCATGGGATAAACCCAAAGTACCACTTTTTAAGAGGTGTTTTTCTGCTTTAAAAACATAGATTTATTGCAATTTACAATTGTACAAGAAAAAGAGTAATAGTAATGTAATCTTTTGTAAATCACAACTATGAGATAAGCCAATGGCTGCAAATTGTTTCCAGAGGGTTTAGGATCCAAAGATTTAGGTATGGGTTGCCTTTGGATAAAAATAAAGCATACTACCTTTCTCCAAAAAAATCCCTGAAGACTGAAAGTGCTAAACTTCCTTTGTTCCCTTTAAATATCTTGGCCTTAATCTTCTATAAAACAAGTCTCTCCAGGTTTTGTGGCAGGGACCTCTTCCTATTTATTATTAAAAGATAAATGTGAATTCCTTCTTCCATGGAACACAATTTCCTGCTGGCTCATTCCATAAACCTGTCTCTGGCTCAGAGCTATCTGCAAAAGGTTATTTTGACCAAGCCAATAAATAAATCAGCATTTCCTGTGGCTATGACACATGGTTATTTCCTCACACTCCTAGAAACATTTCCACCTGCATAAGTGGTTACAGCCCCACAAATCATTCTTTTTGACAATTGCTATTTTTATCAAAGGGTTTCCTCTAATTTAGGAGCATTCTTGTATTTCTATAGCACTTCAGAGACTTCCTATAACCATTACAAACAACCAGACAAAATAGATGTTAAGACAGAAGCTGGAAGAACCTCACTTAAACCAATTTTTTTTCTCAAGAGAACAGAGCAAAAGGATCTTAATTACAGATGGAAAGATAATTATGCCTCTTTCATCGCAAGAAATTACTTTTCCAATATGTGATTAGAATTCTCTATTCTCTCCTCTAACATATCATGTTATACTAAAATCTTATTACAGAGTTCTTAAAAACCATTGCTGTTTCCACCCCTTTTATATGCATCTCAATAAATTGATGGCTTTTTTTCTTTTTTTAGTGCTTCTTCTTGAAATTCAACCTACAAAATCTGTTTACCTTCTATTTCAATTGTTCTCAAAAGAGAAAAATCCTTACAGAAGCTGCAAAATTTGCAGACAACTGGTGGAAGGATATGTCCTCACAGCTACCCCATGCAAAGACACTGGTCCAGATTTTAGAAACAGTATAGGCCTGTTAATATAGTTCTACACCCTGTTAATTTACCCTTCTTCTCAGCTGGGTAATTAGCAAAGTGGATCACCACACTCACATGTTAGGAATGAGCTTAGGCACCTCAGCATATGCCCTAGAAGGCAGAAACTCATTGTTCATTAAGTTCTGCATAAACATGGCGGAAATTGTAGCAGGCATTTATCTCCAAAGATTGCGTAAGGTGCTGCCAGCTCCTGGATCAGCTCTGGCAACACTTCCTCTGACAGGTGGAATTGCTTGAGTGAGAACCAATGAATTCATTATTCACAAAGCAATTTGTGATTTTTATATAGGAGAAAACTTGTGGGTTTGTTGGTTTTTTTTTTTTCTTTAAAGGAATATTAAATGGTTTCTGCCATCTGATCACCTTCTTCCTGGTTCCCATGCAATGGCTTTCTAACAGGTTAGCCAGGTTTTCCCTATCTAGCATGGGGAAATAATTCTCAGAGACACAGGATTCACAAAAGGATTTAGTGAAATTTTACTGAAAAAAACTCCAAAAAAAATTCAGTGGCTTAACAGAAGCTACAGAAATCAGGGCCTGTGCTTGCACTAGCGGGGAGGTAGATGCCACCAGCCTTTTACCCGAGGAAAAGGCAGGAGCCAGGCATCAATCCTGGCAGCCCTGGTACCTGCCAGTGGGGTAGCAAAGAGAATAGGGAGGGTACAACTGACCCGGTGATCAGGCCTTGCCAGTTCTTCTGCTCCCAGGAGGATTTGATATTTTAATTAATTCTGGTAACATCTTAAACAAAAGAAATGTATTTAAATAGCAGCTATGACAACTACAACATTATGTACCAGGGACCAGGGTCTAGTTATAGAGACAAAGAAAACAGCAGTCATGCATGTATAAAACAAAAGACAGATATTCTGTTATTCTGTTTACTTAACCAACAGAATATCAAACAGTTATTCTGTTTACTTTAACCAACAGATATCTTTACCAAAAAAAAAAAAAAAAAAAAAAACCAAACAAAAAAAACCACAAAAAAACCCACAAAAAAAACCCCCAAACAAACAAAAAACTACTGCTTAGTAATGAGGTTCCCTATACAGAGAGGTTTCCACCACAGCAGATTATCAACTTGTCCAGCTTGTCTTCAATTTGGTGTTTCCCAACTTGTGCTCATGCGTGTGTAGCACAGCTGCATGCAGTACAGCACTCTGATGCCCTCATGCATGAGTAAGGTGTACAGTGCTAGTTTCTCTGAAGTCCAGGGAAATGAAGTTTTATTGGGATTCTCCAAATAGCAGCTCCATCTAATGTAAAACAGACCTCATATTCTCTTCTTCCAATTTTATTGCTCTTCCCATGAAAAAAAAACAACATGGTATGATACTTGGCACTAAGTTACTACGTTTGTATAAGTAAGGGATTTTCTGTCATGTGAATGATACCCACTTTCTCCCAGCGAGGAGTAAGGATTTGAAAACAGAAATTTCTCTGTCATAAGCACTCTGGTGATTCAGGCTGTCTGCATTCCTGGAATATTTGTGCCTCTACAGCCCTCTTTAAAGTCATGCTTATATTCAGATGTAGGTATGTGTGGCATGCGTCCGTCTCAAGAATCACTGCTGTAGATTACTCCACTAGTTTAGCTGTGTAATACATCCTGTCACAAGTGGCTGTGGAGCTCTAAAATGGCAGGACTCCTTAACGAGGCAAGATTCCATGAGACCAGAGGACAACTCTACTTCTTTACCTTTTTTTTTTTAAACTTGCTTTTCTCTCAGTAGCTTTCTTTCTTCAGCCTTTAGGCTTCTTTATCGAACAGCGTCTGTCAGCATGACTGCTAGCTACATCTTTCCAGCTTGTGATATCAGTAGTATGAACATTCATCCCTTCCCTCATTGTAGACTACCCCAGTCACACAATTCCACAAAAATACAGTCAAATGTGTGCTGGGTGAATGCTTTTAAGGTTTTTTTAGTGTTGGGTGCTTGGTTTAGCATAGACGTTCCATTAGATAGCAGAATATTGTAGCTGCTTTTTGAACCTTAGGAGCAGTCAACACATTCTCAGACTTGATTGTTGCTCTTTTTAGATTGGTATTTCTTCCAAAGCAGTTATAAAAGAACATAAGAATAATGCAGAGATCCTGAAATTCATATTCAGTGTGTGTGTGTGAAAACTGTATCATCATCAATAAGCAGGTAGCTTCCAATTAGATATTGAGCTGCTGATTTTCTACATGAAATGTGGAATGTGCTCCACCTGGTCTCATGAGTAGGTGGTCTTTGTCATGCTGTGTGCAAAACTGTGATGAGGAAGCAAAGAAAATTGTGTGCAACAGTGTGGTGGTACTATTACCTATTCCAGGGCAACTGCACTGCACACTATTCCAACAACCATCCTGCAAAGATCAGACAAGATTTAAAAATACCTCTAGCACAATCAATTTACTTTTACAATGGTTGAAAAAGCCATTTTTACACACCAATCTGAAAAAACAGGTGTCATCCATGGAACCCATGAAAAAAACCTTCCATTCTATCCACACATATTTCCTGCAATCACCCAGTAATAATCCCTCTATGTGTTTCTATGTCATCTACTAGCTCAGCAGTAGAGATACTTTGCCTTTCCTGGCAAAGATTAATTCCTTGCCTTGTCTAAGGTATTCCTGCATTACTGGCCCGGAGAAGCATTCTGCTGAGATGAAATCACTCCCAGGATGTTGCAGGGCACTCCTTTCTTCATCTCCAAGTGCTTATTTAACTAGATGGTAGCCAGGGACCAAATCATTCCTTGCTGATGGTGCACCTAGAGCTGGTGGTGTGTGAGTCTATCTTGAGCTGTCTGAGAGTCAGATCTCCTTAAAGAGAGTGTGTGAGTTTCTTACACTTGCAGTCAGGATGCTTCAGGCTGTGAACATCGCTCACTAATCCCTCCCTCAGCTTGCTACAGCCAGGGGATGCTGTGGGATGTGCCGGGATCCCCATGGCAGGCTGCCCAGACCTGCTGCTCTTGGCCACCTCTCTGAAGTTCTTCCTCATTCTTGACAAAATCAGGCTCCACAATGAAAAGATGATCTAATTGCTTCCTTCCTTCACCTCCTCCAGTCTGGGGAGGACACCTCAGCTGAGGGCTATGGGGCTGTGCATGGGCATGCTGGTGATGCTGATGATGGATGGTGCTTTTCACAAGCTGTGTGTTTCGTGGGTTTAATTAGTAACATTTCTTCTTCTTCGGATCAGACCACCTTTTCATCAGGAGTAGCAGAAGTCTTGGTCGGATACCAATGAATTTAAAATGCCAGCACCCAGATGGAAAAGTCCCTCTCAGGCATACAGTCACAGTAATCCTGGTTCCAGCAGGGAAATTTTTTTCACATCCACAGGAGCATGGCAGTTATATGCAAGGTCATAAGAATTGTATCCTTCAGATTGCTTCCTCAAACATATATCCATCATGGTACTCAGAAAACTTTGGAGGAATGAGACTATGTACATTATACTATACTTGAAAGACATTTCCAAAAACCAGAACTTCAAATACTGATCAACACAAGATGGATACTCTCACTCCAAAGAGATGCATAATTATATTTAATAAATATAAGCATTATTTATTATTTCTGTTCTTATTATATATATCTGCAGAGATGTTTTATTTGATTGATAACTCAGGCGAGTTGCATAGTCCTTTCAGTACTGTTAACATTACCTTCAACTTTTAGTGTTTGCAGATGTTTAACAATCAGCCTCCTTCAGATTTGAAAAATAGGTTTATTTGAAAACTTCAACTGTTCAACTGCATGTTCAAAATTATTTCCATATGTAAAACCGTTTCCAGAACAGTAGAATAGTGTATCCAAAAAAAAAAAAAAAAAAAGCCAGTGTCCTTCTACAGTGCTCTGCCCTCCCTAAGTAGAACAAATATGACAGAAAGAAACTAGGCTGAGCATGAACCATCTCAGGGTTGAGACTCTTTACACCTAATTCCAGATAGTTGTAAAATTAGTGTTTACGTCTCACAGTTGTTGAACATCTCTGGATTCTCATCCTAAGGTAGACATTACCACAGAACAGGCCTCACACTCTGAAAATCTGTCTTTCTGACTACCGATTCTCAAGGGCCTTTATAGGGCTATCTCAGGTACAGATGTTTTGCATTTTTAGATGTCAAATATGGATTAGACAAACAATATTTCAAAGTTTTGAGCTGATGGGAAGTGGCTCCATTTGATTCTGTGACGTTCAGTTTTGAAGTGGGAGGTGTGCTGGAATGTGTAATTTCAGCAGTATGCATTTTAGGCAAGCCCATATCAACACTTAGGGAGGCAGAGGAGGCACCTGGGCTCAGACCAGCTTCTGCAGCCGAGCAGAGCTGCTGCTGGACCCATGGTGCTGCAAGCACTGTGGCTCAGAAGTAGGCTTCTGCCCTTCCAGTTGATGCTGAGCCTGGGCCTGAAGCTGCTCCTGACAGCAGGGTCTGGCCCCTGTGGGAGTCGAGGAGTCCATGCCAAGGAGCCTGGTCCCAGCCCTCCTGCCTGCCTCAGCTCCTGTTCACATTTCCAAGCCCAACCTGCACCAGAAGCAGATGTCACAACTTGCTCCACATCTTACTCTGCAGTGTGGCAGCTCCCCATTCTTCCCATGATCTCAAGAGCCGCTTCCAGCTTCCAAAACTCAGCAGGAACCAGAGCTCCTGCTTTGCACAAGGGTGAAATCTTAACCTGCCCCTCTTCTTTTTAAGGGCTGCAGCTGTCTCAGCTGCACAACCCTGAAAAAACAAGGAGCCCATGTCTGGCAGGGAAATGAGGTATGACTTGACCTGAGATATGATACATCTTAGCCTTATTAAAACATAGCTCATGGTGAATTTAGAGCTATGCATCCAATTGTTCCCCTCCCCTTCCCTCACACACACTATTATATGACATCTGCTACAATCGTAAAATATTTTGGTATAAACACTGATGTCTGAACTACCAGAGCTGGCACTGCCTGTTACTTTAGCATGGGTCTGAGTACCAGCCAAAGCCCAAATTGATTTCTTAATGCAAATTAAAATCAGCATGTTGGTGTAAAGAGGCATGCGGTTGCTGGCAAATGCTGTCATAGGTTTCTCACAGACAATCCCTCTGAGCAGGCAGAGACCCTCATATTTAAGTTTTCTGGTAGTTTCAGTAATGGAAAATTAATATTTGAGAAAAAATTAGGAGGAGAGAAAAATATATATGCATCCTTTACATGAATGAATGTGTAGCCAAATAATGATCATGCAAGTGCATAGGATGGAGTGAGGAATTCTGAACACAAAGGAAAACAGTGCCTCTGTAACCACATGTAAAAACAACTCAGTCCATCACCAATGCACTGGCATGAATTTTGTAATTTTATAATGTAAAAAGTAATCCTTCAGTGTGAGACGGGACCAATACAGTGGTCTAGAAGAGGTTATGGATATATCAGATGATTCTTTTCGTCTGCCACTGTCACATCTGTCCCCTTGAAATTTCATGACCCTTAAATGTCTTTGATCTAAGTCTATATCCTGAGCATTCAATGGAAAAACAAACACATCACTGTGTGGATTAAGAAATGGAGACAAGAAGTTACTTGTCATATGTATAATTATCGTAAGTAATTATAACCCAGGAGCTCAAATCTTTTTTATTTCTCTCACTGTGCTTTTAAGTTCCTAACCCCTTGTAAGGAACATGTATTCTACCAAAAATTGATCAATAATTTTTTACACCTGCTTTTACTATCTATAGAATTCTTCATCCTAGACATAGTCCAGAATATAGTATCTCCCCAGGCTGGAGATACAAGACATTGTAACCTAAATATTTGCAAGATGAAATGCCAAAAAGACCCTAGATTTATTATATAATATATTCTGTGAAAATACAGTATAATCTTTTAACATCGCTAATTTTTTTAATAGTAATAATCCTAATACTGGGAAAACACAATAGCTAAATTTTGAAGAGTGCATGTGAAAAAAACAAAAAATACTGTGAATATGAATAAGAATTTGTTTAACTTTGTGAGCACCCAAATTGCAGCAGAACCACACAGCTTATCACAAAGCTCACCTGTCTGCTCATTCACTGCATGATTTCAACTTTCAGACAAAGTTCCTTTTCAGCTTCATTTTGCCTCAGTAGAACTTGTCTGCATGGACAATAGTGCAAATTTTCCAGAATTATCTGCCTCAGAAGCAGACACTTCATGAAACAAAATTGTTATGTGAATCACTCAAACTTCTTCATTGACAGATGGGAAATAATGTCCAGACTCACCTCACAGTAGCAGAATGAGAACTCCCATCAAAACCAGTAATTTCTAACTGAAAAAAAATCTTTGACTGACACTCATGCCTAAGAAATAGCCCTAGCACATTCAAGCATCACTCCTTTTACACAATCCCTCTACAGTTTCTTTCCCGATGGAGCACAGAAGTTGTGCAATTTCAACATTCAATATCCAGGGCTCCCTCATAAATTACAAGGATGGACATCATGCTACCAAAGCCATTGCAGCAGAGCACACCTCACTGTTATTTTTGGCCCTTTCAGTTACAAAAAGTATTGTGGAACAGAAAGCTCACCAGTAGATTTCTTGTACAAGTAAGTGAGACATTAAAATACTAAATATTCAGCCTGTTCCAAAGAAAATGTAACAGAGGAATAAAACAAGCAATTGTGGAAATTGAGCCACTTGGTCTACTTGAAGGTGTCTCTGCTCATTGCAGGAATTTGGAACAAGATGACTTTTAAAGGTGCCTTTCAGCCCAAACCATTCTATATTCTATGAAAATTATAAACATAAGAGGAATAAAATTATTTAAGCAATAAAATTAGGGGCATTTCCCTTGTAACGCTCAAGATGTTACCATCATTCTTTATCTACCTGAGCCTTCTCCCTTTTTGAGAAAAACAAAATCATTAGCACTCTTTGGTTCTAACTTCTCTTATTCTTAATACCTTGAAATCACCTTGGTCTGGCCCAGTACCATCGTCTTTCCTTTTTTGCCATTCACCATCTCCCAAGGAACCGAGGCCTGAGTTTCCATCCTGAAGAAAGGAAAAAAGAAACACTGAATTATAATGTTAAAACAACAGCAGCAATATTATCAGGATAGATAATTAATTTCTCTTTGCAACTCTTTATGATGAAACCTTGATTAGAAGGGCTGTTGGTTACACCCAGATGTGTTAATTGCACTGAAATTAATGAACAAACCACCACATATTTTGGTGCACACTGGCACAAAAATCCATCACAGTTGTAAGATACCTAAAAGGTTTCTCTATCCAGTAAAAAAGGTTTGCTTTTTGTTTTGAATGTGATCTTTTGGCAATCTACTCTTACCAATATTAAATCTCAGCTTAAAATGTCCCAGAATATCTTCTGTGATTTTGAAGAGAGAATGTGAAACACTGCAGTTGCAAAATTTTAAACCTAATGTTTCAATATTTTTCAGGAAAAAGAAGTTCCAAAATACTTCTACAATGTAGGGTGACCCCTTTTAAAGCACACTTCATGAGCACCATTAAAGGACATTTTCTACAGAAAAAATTTTGAAAATATTCCGCTTCTATTTCCAAAGCTCTTTCTAAGTGATGTGCTTTCATCCAGTCAGGGAGCACACAGAACAATGCATAAGGTACTACAGTTAAAATTAAATGCAAATCTTGAAACAATGCAGAGAATGCAAAGCAAAATGAAAAAAATCAGAACCAAAAATGAAATGTGAAAGTGAAATTCAATTCTCTATTCCTGGTCTCTAGCCTGTCCTTATCCCGTTTTCAACAACAAAAACATGGGTTTGACACATTATTATACATGTTAAAATCTTCCTATTTATACAGAAATATGAGCTTTTTAATAAAAGTAGCATTTAATTGTAGAAGAAAAAAGGCTGACAATTCAGTCCCCTGAAGAAAGTTTCTCCCCCTTCTTATCTTTTTCTGTCCCTATACTTCTCTGACTTCTCCCATTTTGTCTATGAAGATGAGATCTTTGGCTCCAGTGGATTCAGAAGGAGTTTTTCCACTGACAGACTTGAATAGAAAATTTCACCTTGAACTTCTTCAGGCAGAGGAATTATTGTATAGTCCCATCAGACAGCAAATCTGCACACTAGCTTGAATACACTCACAAAGCAGGATTTTGTTTTCTGTCAAATGCAGAGAACCTTAAGTGAAACATTAAAGCTGTTCTCTTACCTCTAATGCGTTTGATGGTATCATGGAGCTCCCTTTTTTCATGTAATAGAGTGTTTCTGGCACCTCCATGGGCTGCAGTTCTTGAGATATATTTTCAGGATATACTCCTGGCTCATGCATAGGCAGGAATCCTTTAGACATATTTTCAGGATATAGTCCTTGCTCCTCCACGGGGAGGAATCCTTTACACATGTTGTCAGGATATAGTCCTTGCTCCTCCATGGGCAGGAATCCTTTAGACATGTTTTCAGGATATAGTCCTTGCTCCTCCATGGGCAGGAATCCTTTAGACATGTTTTCAGGATATAGTCCTTGCTCCTCCACGGGCAGGAATCCTTTAGACATGTTTTCAGGATATAGTCCTGGTTCCTCCAGGGGCTGGAAGCCTTTAGACATGTTTTCAGGACATACTCCTGGCTTCTCCATGGTCAAGAATCCTTTAGACATGTTTTCAGGATCTACTCCTGGCATCTCCACAGGCAGCAATTCGAGAGATATATTTTCAGGTTCAACTCCTGGCACCTCCATGGGCAGCGGTTCTAGAGACATCTTTTCAGGATTTACTCCTGGCACCTCTGTGGGCAGTGGCTCTAGAGACAAGTTTTCAGTATCTACTTCTGGTACCTCCACTGGCAGCACTTCCCAAGACATGTTTGCAGGATGTACTCCTGTGGGAGTCAATGACTTGTTATTTTATAAAATTACCTGAGGCCCCACCCATCTCATCTCTCTAAGTAAAGGGCTCCCCTCCCACTACGAAGGCAGTGGAGCACCAAGGATAGACTGCTCCAGGGAAGGACCTTACAGCCCAAGCACCGCAGCCAAAAGGAATGTGGTACCTTCCTCTGGCTGGGAAGCTCTGCCAGCCTGCACCTGCCCCACAGGTCCTGCACTGCTGCCACCCTTTTGTGTGAGTAGAGACTCAGCATGGAGGGTGCTGCCGCCGAGGCCTGCTCCTTCAAACCCACTTCTTCCCTGAGCAGGGACACCTTCTGTGTGGGGGAAGCTGGACCCTGAAAAAGGCCTGTGCATCTAAATAGCTGGCAGTGACTTCCATGCACGCTGGCACAGCCCTGCCTTTGGTCCGTGTCTCCCCACAGGTGGGGACCCGAGTCAGAGCCCTGTGCCACAGGCAGCCCCTGGAGGTTCCCCACCACTGGCAGATCCCTGTGTGGGCAGGCAGCTCCCAGCTCCTCCTGGGCTGCTCCCGTTCCTTCTTCCCAGAGGCCGTGGTGTGGCTGTAGGGCCTCGGCTTCATTTTGCAGAGGTGAGCTGTAAGTCGAGGAGGTGATTGACAGACTGGGAGCAGCAGCACTGGGGTGTGACAGGACAGCAGGGGAGAAGGACACTTGCAGGGCGTAGCAGAGATCTTGAAGTCAATGCCTATGGCTTCAGGCATGACCCAGGATCCCTGCTGCACCCAGCAGAACCTTAAATATAGCAAAAAAGGCACAAGGAAATATGTAACAGCTGTGCAAAGCAGATGAGAGTCATGCTTTTCTACATTTTCCAGAGAAAGGCAGTTGAACTTTGCAACTGTGGGAAACTCATGTCAAGATGAATGGAATACAGTATCCAGTGGTTAAGTTTTATCACTTTTATTTTACAGAGATTTGTTCAACCAAAGAACATGAATAAAAGAGCAGATGAACATCTCCAGGCTTACCCAATGGAAATTACCATTTTCAAATACAGAAAAACAAATGAATAACAAACTAGAAGCTCCAGTAACAGTAGACTGTGTCATAGCATCTGCATTCCCAGCATGAAAAGTAGCTCTGCCCACACTGGAAGTACAAGAGCATCTTTTGGCCTCAGGTCACAGACACTCTGAGCTGGATCCTGGAGAACCCCTTTTGCAGCTTAATTTAGAGAACAACAGTCATTTGGTGGGGATTTTTGGTGTTTGTTGGGTTTTTGTTTGTTTGTTTGGGGTTTTTGTTGTTCTTGTTTTAGTTTTTTGTTTGATTTTTTGGTTTTGTTGTTGTTGTTTTTAATCTGGTCAGAAACAAAAACCTGGTTGACCTTGGAAAACCTGCCATGGGATACTAAAAATACCAGGATACCCATTATAGCATAACAACTTTCCCAAGGCTGGTTCGTTCCGAGAACCATTAACATAACTGATGATAGGTGACAGAAATCCCTCTAAAGTTGGTGAACCTTAAGAAAGCTGAGATTCTCTGTCCTCAAGGAAGCCTGTGGAGAAGAATCATGGATTCTATACAGACTTCCATGTCTGCAGAGTGAATTCCCCATTACAGGCACACTTGGCTATCTATAATGATCTGGACAGTTTTCAGCTAAATCAAGGTACTCTGCTCCCATCTGAGTCACTCCACAGGGAGCAACATAAAGAAAGAAAACTGAAAGGTTCTCATTAACAACTGAACTAGTGCCATCTCATTTAAAATCTGAATGTACAAAGCTGGATGGTTTTCAACTTGGAGAATGAAAAGCAGATGCTTCAAGTGGAAATGTTTTATGTCTTTACATTGCATATTTCAGTAATTTAAGGATAGATGAAGGAAAATAACCCACCTGTTTCAAAGATCTAAATGTAGTCGCCCTGGCAGCAAATTGCACACTACTCTTTTAGCATAGTGATATCACAGCCTTATCTGTTTATCACACAATGTGCCAAACCCAGAACAACCTTGTACTTCCTCTACTGCTTAAGTTTCTTATTCATCCTGCAATGCAGTTTGCAGAAGCGTCACTCACTTGGCAAAGGTACCTGTACTACATCCGACTGCAGAGACAAGCTGTGGAGAAATGGAACTACATGACAAAATTTTCAACAAGTTCAAATGTAGCTTTGCAATTCCTTTTAATCACAGTCTTGGACTGGACCAAAACCACAGACAGTCAGTGTCCTCCTAAATGCCTTGCAACAATATCTGCTTGCCTAGCCTCAAACAGGCCAGGCAAAATGAGACTGAGATTATTCTCAGATAACAAGATAGAAGCACAACCGGGACTGGCTGTGTCCACCTCACCACTCTCAGATATACAAATACTTCTATACAAAAAAACAGTACTGGAGAGGAAAGCCAGATAGGAGGTCTGGCTCAGCTACATGCAGCAGAGGAGGGGTGTCTTAGGCCATGACTTGTGCAGTTAGTGAAGGAAGGATATTTGGAGCAGAAGAGAAAACTCACAGGAGACAGTGGCATTACTGCTGTTTGTTATCTTACCCCTGCAACAGGTAAAAAATTAATCTTCTGGGAAATAAATTTTAAACTAAAAAGTTTAATTGTACTAGAATGCATTCTTATTAAGATCATAACTGAGAAAACTATGGCACCTTGTATCCACCTTGTATAGATGCATCAGCATTTGTATGCATTTAGCATGTAACTAGAACAAACCTCTGATACTGAGAGGTATTCCTTTCCCAGTAGAGAGGCTACCATCATTAATGACTTTGTATATCATTGCACTTACAATTAAATACCTGTATACATTTCTTTCATGTTACAGTTACTGATGCACTGAATAAAGCCCAAAACTTACCATACCTGTCTTTGAGCTGCCTAATTGAAGTGTAAATTTATACTCTGTTCTATCTCTCTCAGATTTTATGCATGTTACAAATGCACAGTCCTCAGTTTTACCTGTAAAGTGAGTAAGTCGTCTGTGCCTGGAGTTCTCTTACTTTGGGATGACTTACTTTCTGTACTTGAAGAAAGTTTTCCAGGACATCAGTTCTACAAGAGCAGTTCCTGAAGTTTTTTGTATCACTGTTAATTCTCCACATTTCTGCAGACTACGTGCAAGTTTATCATATCCCCATGAGCTGCAAACCAGCACAAGTGCAATATGACCAGCACAGTTCTTCCTCCCTGTGCCCAAACCCAGCAGTGGGTTACAGGCCATCAACTCCTGCATCAGCAGAGATCATGGACTAGAGATTATGAGTGATTAGAAAAGGTGTTTGTTAAACATCTGTGAAGGATTTTCTGAATTATTTTCTGTATATGGGACCAAAGCATTTAATCTTCAACAAATTCTAGACTATCATATAATCTGTTAAATGTCAAAATCGAGTTATAGTCTATATTTACAAAGTAGATATTAAGTTAAAAGAAATGCAAGTCAAGGAGGAATTTGGAGCATGAATTGCTTTTAAGACTGGCTGTCATCGAGCTAAATAGCAGAAATTGCAAAATTGAAGAAACAACTTGCTCAAGATTTAAAAGTACATATTAATATGTGTAGAAGTTTGCAGCTCCTTATCTGATAGGTATCAGTCTCTAAGGATGCTCCATTTCTTCAGCAGAAGAAAGGAAATAGGAAGGGAGAAAACTAATAAACAGATTATTAGCTGTGAGAGAGGAGGCTGCAATAAGCACTAGTTGGCAGGAAAAGTGAGACTGCTAGGGGCCAAGGAACCATCTTTTCCCAGTGTTTAAGGACAGGAAAAAATAAGAGAGCTGGGAGCTAGGAAGTACTCAAAGGGTGCGTATCAGGTAAGCCCAGATGGTCAGAACCTCATCAGTAAGATTTAGTGCCATGAAATTTTCCAGATTAGAGATATTTAGTTGCTTTGCTTTTTAAAGGACCAGACTATTGAGACTGCTTTGAAAAAAACAGAAGAGTGGTACACCTTTATCTCTGTTTTAAATGTTTGTGTCCACCACCTTCTAGTTACCGATTTCATCTTTCTTTTCCTCTTTCCATTCCCTGCTATATTTTCTTTACAATTGACTTCTTGGATTGCAAAGTATGTGTTTTCTTTCTTTGTCCATCTCAATATTTCATAGCTAAAATGTCATTTTTTTCAATTTTTGTCGGTTATTATAATTTGCTTTTTCTTCTATCCTCCCTCCTCACTTTTTATACCATCATAACCATACTTAATAATTCTTAATCTATCCCCTTTGTCTCATATCTCCTCTGTACTGTAATTGTTTCTCCAGAAGCTTCAGGTTTGAATGATGGAGGTTTGGTCATATTTGGAACAAGCATGAATACTACAAGCATTAGGGCAGCTGAGATCAGGCTGTGACATCAGGATGAGATGTCCAGCTGCATGGAAAAAAAGAGATAAAGGAGAGTGGGTTGGAGGGAGTGCAAAGAAGACCTCAAGATGTGGCATTCACATTCTCTGGATGGACAGACAGACATAATTCTGTCTCTCAGGAGAAGCACAGAGAGAAGAAGAGAAAACAGTCTTTACCTCCGCTCCTTTGTTTTCCCCATGTGGAATTTGGTATGGAGATTGTTTACCTGAAGTGATTGCTTGGTTGGATTCTGGTGAAGGTTGTTTGGGTTCAGTGACCAGTTGGATCCAGCTCGGATCTCTCAGCAGAGAAGTCACAAGTTGTTAGTTGATAGATAGGTAAGTAAGATGTACGTAGAACAGGAAAGTATCTCTTTAAGTAGTGTATTACTGTATTATAGTATAGGTTTAATAAAGCAGATCCTTTAGCCTTCTGATCTGGAGCCAGACATCATCATTTCTTCCCGTCAGGGGTGCCCTGATTTCCAATACTCAGGACCCAAGGAGGAAAAAACATGAGACGTGACAAGATGTCACATCACAGAACTTTGATATCATGAGCTGGAGGTGTGGGAGGAATGCTGGAGAAGTACTTTATGAAGACTGCAGGAGTGATGGGCTTCGGGGGAGCCCTCCAAGGGAGAGATTTTCATGATAAATTCAAAGCTACAATGCTTCAGTGGCAGGAATGACACAGCCATTTTAACTGTTGACCAGCATAGCGTGACCAGGGCATGAGGAAATCAGGCCCTGATGGCCTCCTCTGCAGTGTTATCACTCTAGTAAGACAGTGAGATATTGCACATACACAGCAGAGCTTTACATGAGAGCAGGTTTTAGGACAGGGTTTCTAAGATGGGAGTCCTGTTCTGCCATCCACATTCTCCTATATTTGCTGTGGCAAACACATTTGCCATCACTCACGTGGCGCAACCTGTAGTCTCACAAATTACTTGTTCACTCAGAATGTTTGCAATAACCTCTTGTTTGATCACTCCTTGCACTACAGAACAGCACAAAATCCTGCTGCAAACCATCCCATTAGCTCCTATTTCTTTAGTGGCAGTCACTAAGTAGGACTGCCCAAGTTCTCACTTGCCTTGTGAGGAGTTAAAGAATCCCATTGCTGCTTTCCTTAGGTTCCTGTGGTCTGAGTCACCTCACTGAGCTGCCCAGTTCTTCATGCACCCTTGTGATAATCAGAAGGGCTGGGGCACAGCTGCAATTGCATGCTAATCCCTTCACTTACTATAGATAATGAATAGGTAAGAATTAAAAGGCAGACACAGAAAAGATTCAAAACATATTAATTACAACTAAGGAGGTCAGCGTGTTAGTGTTTGTAGCTCCTATACCCACATATACCAAGAGCTCTACCTATTAAAACATTTAGGAAAAATCAAGTTAACTCCTGCTGGTATTTACTATGATACAGCATGGGCCTAGATTTTTGCAGCACTTCTCTCCCCTCTAGTTAGTTTTCTTCCTCAAAGGGATAATTCCGTGAAGTCATTCCTCTTTCCTGTAAAAAGGAACACTCCCAACCTGCAAAACCAAAAAGTGCTTTTAAATGCCCACATCTGCAGCTGTTACCTACATTCCTGTAATGCTTCAGTACAGCCCAGAGTCAGAGCATAGGAAACCTACCCCATTAATTGCTGAACCAGAACAAAACAATGCCAGCAGACAAAGTCACACAAAACCTCCCTGCTGGCCTGCAAGGACAGATGACAAGCATCTTCTGCAGTGTTCTGCTGGGAGGTGGAACAAACCTACCCTGGCAGGTGCAGCAGAGAGCACCTCAGTGACACACTGAGAGTAAATGGGGCTTCCCACTGTTAAACCAGCAAACAAGAGAACATCAAGGGAAGCAAAGGGATATAGTTAAAGGCAGGAATGGGAAGAGAGAAGCAGGGTTCTTGAAATTTGGTGCCATCAAAGACTTGGATGGCAGAGGTAGGAACTCCATTTGCAGCTCTTGAAGGTGCCTGAAACCTCAGCTGTAAGATGGGCAGCTGGGAGAAGTAGCAAACACATGTGTCACACCAAATGGGGTTGTCATAATGATAACCAGGGAAGCCTGGGAGGGAAATAGAGCTGGGACAGAGGAGAGGCAATGCCGAGAGGGACCAGATGATTCAGCAACAGAGATCACAAAGAGGGGAGCCCTTGATGAGCACCAACAAGTAAACAGCCATTTCAGCACACCAGAGGTTTGAACCCAGGCTGCAAATTGGATGAAGGTGTGAGGGCCTGGAAAAGCAGCTGGAGTAAGGACACAGCACCCCTAAGGGGGCTGAGGTCATCAGAGGTGAGCATGGGAGACTTAAGACAGCAAAAGATAAGAGAAAGACAAGGCATAAAGGAATGATTGAAGGAAGAGAGATAGATCATGATAATGAAAAGAAGGAGAATTTTTCAGCCTTTTAGAAGTTCATATTTCATTTTGAATTAAAAATAATTTTCTGGTTTTGCTATGATACATTATTCATAGCTCTGTGTTTGCCAATTACTTCAGTGCACAGACAAGCTGCTGCATTTTATTTAAATTTTAAGTAATTAAGGGTAACTGATACTGACTGAAGCATTATATCTTTTTATTTTAGATTAGTATCTTTGTTGTAATGAAACAGGTTTACAATGTATTTGTCATATTAAAATTCTTCCTAAAGCAAATAATTGTTTTGGTCTTCATCTCAAAAATAAGCAGTTTCAACAAATTACTTTGTACTATTTATAGTAGTCACATATATCCTAACTTACTTTTAGACAAGCAGGGACTCACAAAGTTATGTGATTTCCCATTAATTACGCATGGATATCAGTGTAAAACACTTAGCTTGCCTTCTGACCACAAAGCCTCTCAGTTTGTGATGTTTTAATTCTCAGAGCATCCCATCTTATAATAACAAGAAACACTATGAAAACTGCTGAAATTAGCAGGATGTGGATGCTGAGCTGGATCATCTAAATACCATGAAAGTTCAGTGGAAAGTAGAACCGTGGATTAGATAGCTATAACTGCACTGGAAGAGGTGATCCTGACTTACAAAATGGTTTGAAAGAGTAGTTTCCAAGAGATTTTCAAAAGCTGAATACTGCTGGTGTAATAAAATTTTTAAATTCAAAAGTATAGAAAATGTGTATTTTTTACGTGAAGTCCCAGATTATCTTTTATGTTTAGCTTGGCATGTTATTTCTAGCAAAAATTCCTTCCTGACATTATAGGAAAATATAGTTTTCATGTTCTTTGAAATTGTCCACATTTATCATGTATTTTTCTGTTGCACTAGATTTGGAATAAATTAAATATCCATAGCTCATTTGTGTTCACTTCACATACAATTTCCATCAGTATAATAAATTTTGAAGGAATTTTCACTGCTGTCCCAGATTCATGCATTTCAAAAACTTTTCAATAAATCCAATATTTTCTGACCTTCAATTTACTGCATATGCACGTATATGCAGGGAAAAAAAAACGTTCAGCAGCAGTGAAATCCAACATAAATAAAGTGCAAGTCTAATCATTATTTTGTTTGATTGGTTGATCTAAGATCACCATGTGGTAGAGAGGAACCACAGCCTGAGACAAGTCTTTACTTTCCAAAGTCTACTATGCTCATTTGAAGACAGTTCTTGATTCCTCTCCAGAGAAGAATTTAAAAAAAAAAAATCATGCAGATATCTTCCTGAAACTCAGGCGAGTACTTATTTTTTGTGCTGGCGTTTCTGCTCTATGGCTGAATTCAAAGCCTGAAGGATCAGATGTTGGTTGTTCTGAATGTTGTAGCTGGTCAGTTCTATCAGCTTGTCAAACTCCTCTCCTGTGTAGGTAAAGCTGTTTAAGCAGTAGGGGGAAAAAATGGTGGAAACATCCACGTTGCCCTGAGCCATCTCAGCAGGGCTGCGCTCCACACCTGACAAATAAAGAAACATCATCAGTGGGGTAGAGAGATGGTTCTAGCAGGGCACAAAATTACTCTTCGCCCCTTGGAATTTGTGTTTCTCTCCCATAGGAGGCACAGCAAGGGAGGGAGGAGACCATGCTACACCATTTCTCCCATTCCACAGCCAAAGGGCTGCCAGGTGGTGGGAGAGCCATCCCATGGCTTACCAGGCTCTTTGTACTTTCTGAAGGAGTCATTCACCAGCGGGAAAAACACCACAGTCGGTGCCTCTGGGGTCTCTGTATCTTCAAAGATGTAGCACTCCTTTAGATTTTTCTTCTCTTCTTCACTCATTTGGATTTTGGGAAATGGGATTCCCTGCTTTTGAAAGTATTTGGATGCTTCTTCCAAAGGCTGAATTCAGACAGAAAAGAGGAAAATGTCAGAAATTCTGCCACAATCTACCACTTTTCCTAATGCATCCATCGAAAGACCTTCACAAAGATTTAGGAACAGGGTTCATTGTTAGTATTTCTTCTATCTTTGTCTCTTAAATGAGATATTAAGTACTACTAACAGAACAATTCAACACTCAGCCTCCAATTTGCACTCCTGATTGGTGTTCTACTTTCTCCTTCTCCTCATTAGCCTTTATCTCTACAAGATAGGAAAAATGTCCATGACTGTGGGAAGGGTGGCCTAGCAGCTTAGGATACAGAAAGATGCCTCTTCTGGAGAATTTCCTGAAACAAGTAGAATGGGCAAGTAGAATCGGAAATAGTACAGTTTTAAAATGCAAAATTACAAATTTTTTTTACTCGGCATAAAGTATTAAAAGCCTCTGTCTTAGATGCCTTAGGATGGTTCTAACAATTAAGCAAACAGGGATCTGGGAGCAAATATGATCTTAACTAAAATGTTAATCTTGCAGGTACGTTAGCAATTTTTGAAAGTAGCATTTTGCTTCCCAAGTCTGGCTGACATGTATGAAAATCTTAGTCCTCAAGAATTTCTATCTTATCCATATTTAGTAACAAGAATTATAGACCAGGTTATTAGATGATATTTGAAAGAGCATATGTTGTTAAAGGACAATTATTTTCCACAATTTCAAACAACAACAAAAAAATCCAGTTACTGTTCCAAAGACAACTGGACAAAATATTTCTAATTATACTGCATGTGGGTAACTTTATATGAACATCACTACACAACCATGAGTCCATCAGTGGTGGCAACTAGTACCAGATAAACACTCCATATAAGTGAAATCTAGATAGTGAAATGGAGATCACAGGGCTAGGAAATAGCATTTAGCTACTAGAGGGTAAACTCAAATAAAATATGCAGAAATCTGATATTACTCCTGTTTTCAGGGGATTTACCAGCATCACTGTGAAGACCTAAGCATCTGCACAGGGAGCTGTAGACCAAGGATCCTTTTCTCCCAGAATTAGTTTATTCTACATAAATTATTCTGAATCTTTAGGAGTTAAGGAGGGATAGAAGGCAGCAGTTGTTTATCAAAGAAAAGAGAGCATTTTCCACACCAACGTCTGTGATCCAGAAGAATAGTTTAAGTGCAGGACAACATCCACTTTCCTCTCTGGCCTCATGAGTGGTGGGTAGCTAATGTCAATGTATCCCGCTGTGTCTGCCAGGCACATGAACTCTGCTGTTTCTGTCAGCTGGTTGGGGAAATGCTCTAGTACAGTATCTAAAAGGAAATATTTGTTATGATGAGTGATTCACTGAAGAAACAGTACATCTGTTGTTTGACTAATAAGGAAAAATTGGGAAAAAGGCCTCTTGGCTATCTATTACATTTACTTTTTCCAAACAACCCTGAAACACTACAGATGTTCAGCCTTCCCACGTGAAAGAAAGACCTGTTCAAGGTAAAAAGAGAGTTCTTTCACTTCTCATGTTGCTATTCTTCCACCCCAGATGAGCAGTAATTTTCTTTCCCTGGAGTCAAGAAAATTCCTGAAGCTGATTTGACTGTATCTATTTCCAAATGGTCATCATCTGCCTTCTCTTCACTGATGAAAACACCAACTATCTAAGAAGGTAAACAATTATACCTAAGGATGTTTACCTTTCCATATGCAGAAGTTTTTGTTCTGAAGGTATTCATTGTGCAGCTGGAATCCCTTCAGGAAGTTGTAGAACTTTGAAACCATCACCCGCTCTGTCAGGATCCGCCGAATGATGCCCATGATGCCACATTCAGGGGTGACCAAGTAAGTCTCCAACTCATGTCTCCTGTCTGATGAAGAAGGCTCTTCTCCTGAAAGATAGAGGAGATGAATAAATTGTTGCTTTGATACAGTTCTTTTCAATACTTAAAATAATTGAAGTCATCTCATATTAGCTAGGGAAAAGAAGATCCTAATAAGATATTGCAACATACAAATAAATCAATGTCAAAATAGGAGTAAGAAGAAAATCAGTCTTCAGTAAAGCCTATTCCATGAGAAAAGGAGTGGCAACAAACTTGCTAAAACTGGAAAAAGTGATCCATTCTTTAACAGAACTCACAGATTGATTCCCTGTGTGAAGGTTAGGGTAGGTTCAGAATCCGCACCTGTTCCTTTCAAAATTAATAAAAAATCAGCTTTGCATGAAAAAAAAAAAAAAAAAAAAAAGAAAAGAAAAAAAAAAAAGCTATCCGGAGACTGAGACATCCACAAGAAAAATAGAGTTGTGCTAAACAGTACCTCATGAGATTGGGAAGAGAGCCAATCACTTTCTATCACATGCATTTATTGATTTATTGAGCTTAGGTCTTTGCAACACTTCCATGGAGAAAGTGATAGAAACCCATAAACTAAACTCACTAATTGCCTTTAAACACAGGAAGGACAACCAAGGCCTCTGAGAAAAACACAGGTTTATATCAAGATCCAAGAACGTTGAAACAGACTTGCATGCAATTGAAGTCTTCAACAACATGTGAAAAGCACCAGCTGCTGAGGCAGACAGAGAACACAGCAGAGGTGTTTGTTACAACATGGAGGTTCACCAAAGGGCCCCTGGCAAAGACAATCTTTAAACCTTCAGTAGTTTTATATTTGCATAAATTCAGTATAAGGGAGAATAATGGAAATAATATTGCTATGAATAAATTCAGACATGAAACTAGTTAGATACAGCTGACAACATGAAGCCTCTGGATTTATGAGGGACCAGGTAAAACAGAAACAGAAACATAACTAACCAATATCAACAGTGCTGTGTTGGGTACACCTCAGTGAGCGTCTCTGTGTAGGATTCGACGAATGCCAGGCATCCAAGAGGTTGTACGAAAAGACATTGCTCCATAGGCCTGTGCAATGGTAGAGAACATGGAAACTTCTTCAGAAACATTGTAATAGACTGTATCTCTTTAAAAAAAATATCTCTCAGCTTTGCAAGGAGTATTGGAAAGCCTCGAGGTTTCCAAATTATCACCAAAAACTATATTAAGTTCTTTTCAACAATTAGCATTCTGTCATCAAGGAGAAGCCTAAATAGTTTAAAACATTGTGTGAGGCCTTCAGCCACTCTAACTCCTTGCCACATACAAACCAACATTTTCCATCCTATAAGCAACTGTCGTAAGTGAGCAAAACCATGCCATTTCCTATAAAATATGCGTCTGCTCTACAAAATATGTCATCTACAAGTGGATACTCAGTTAAATGTTTGGAAGCTACTTCTGGATAATTAAGAATCAAATGGTTAGAGTACAGTCTGGGATAGTCTGCAGAAAAGTCCTCTAAATAAAATATATCTTTGCTGTCCCTCTAAAATTTCTCTGCACAAAGTCTTTTGAGGGAGACCCTTCTCCTTCTATTTGTTATTCTCATTCCCATAGTGCTTCTCCCACTTTTGCCATCCCACATAAAAGAACATCTGAAAGTGTTTTCACAGTGCAAAAATCTCCAAAAATCTCTTGGATTTTAAAAAGTATCTCTTCCTCTACAGCTCTGTCACAGGCCCCAAGAGAAACTCTAGCAGAGAAGGCAGGGCTGTGCTTTGCCTTGAAAATCTCTACCAGTGAAAGCTTTGCAAAAGCCATACATTGTACAGGACGCAATAACTTGAGTTGCACAATAAAATAATTATTCATCCCATAAATTAATAGCAAAAATACAATTTACTTTAAACATGGCTTGTTTCTGGACTGGGACAGAAATCCAAGAGCCTTCTGTTGTAAAGGAAGTCCTTGTAAGAACAGACTCACTTAGGAAATACTAGAAATGCATAATCAAGAAATCAGATTGGGCCTCTCTGGAGCTACACTTAGCTGTCAAGCAGAGTTCATTTGCACATAATTACTGGTCAGTTTCTGTTGAGATAGCCTCATCTCCCAGCAGCTTGAGAAGCTTCTGTCCAACCCTGCTACAAGAAGACAACTCCTCTGGTTTCTCCTGTCTTGGTGTCTTCTCACTCTGTAACTCTTCTGGTTCCCTTACCCTTGGAGTTACACACTGTTCCTGCATTTTAATGACTTTCAAACATTGTTGTCTCCTTAGAACATGTTTATAATTACATGGCAAAGTTGCCCTAACCTCTTGCACTGAATTTTCTTTGTACCTGTATTGGCTGAAGTAAGAACTGTCAAGAAGGACGGTATCTTTTCCTAGGCCAACAGAGTTGAAGAGAGTGGACAAGCTCTTATGCACCTCAGCCTTTCTTCTGGAAACATGAGGGTCTTGTATCCCTGTAAGCTCATCCAGTCTTTCCAGCTCTTAGAAAAGGCCTTTCCTCTCCCTGCAAATGACACCTTGCTTTTTAAAAATTATCACGCTGTAACTAATAGCACATTTTAATAGTTGCCCAAGAGGGCATTGCATGTGGTATCACTAGATGGCAACATTGCTTTAACTCTCTACCTTACCCTTTATAAAGGTACACTGGTGGCTGTGGGACCACCAGGCTCAGGCACTAAGGCTGAGAACAGAGCTCAGCCCAGGCTGGATGTTTTGGGTGTGCTTGCTACCTGGCCCCCTCGGGTATGAACACACTACCCCACTGCTATTGAGGAACTGCAGTGGAGGCGTAACATGCTCAGAAAAAGGCTCTGTAGTCCCACCTAGCTCTGTGACCTACCTCCTACCTCTAACAGTCAGCACAGAGTGCTTAATGGAAGAGTAAAAGAAAAAAGGAAGAACGAAGGGATTTCTCCAACATACTCCCCATCATCTTAAACTCCTGGATTTAGGATTTCTAGTACTAGAGGCTGCATCTGAACTCCTGGATTTCAGAGCTACCAATGAGATTTACTATGCATTAATTTCTCCTGCCCTTTTCATACTCTTGGATCCTGTGTTTTCTTCTGAGTCTTTTCGCTCAAACAACTCTTTTCTTAACTCATGACATCACTGAAAGCTCTTAGCATAGCTAATAAAGCTGTAAGATTTAGTGCTTGTGTCACTGAGCACCATCTTTTCTTTCTTATGCCCAGCTATTGTCTCATGTTTAGAATAATATGATTCTGGACTCCTACTGCATAATACAGCTTCTCTGAATACCAAATAAGGAATACCATGTGGTGTTGCTGGTTGTATGGATTTTCCACTTTACAAGTTAACAATTTTTTACCTGTATCCTTGGTGTCCTGTTGTGTCTTGTGCTTATTTACACATAAACTATCTATTTAAGAGCAGATGGACTTGTCTGCAGACAACTTTACACCAGAGAACCAATGTACAAAGGGGCATAGTAGAGAGTTTCAGTATTAAGCAAAATTAAAACAAGAATTGCATAAAACCTGCAAAATTGTTTTTCATATATTACTGGGTGCTACCCAGTTTACTGAATTAAGAATGATGAATTTCAATTATTTATAATGGTATCAAAATTACAGAGTATTTAGAATACTATTAAACTTGTAAAAGTATCAGTAGCAGTTCACAAAACTACTCTAAATTGCTGTATTTTATAATAAACTCGGTAACAACATTGCTTTGGCATCTAAGATCATGCCATTCATTGACAAATTTGACTTTTAAGATTTCAGTTTCAAAATACAAATGTTTTTCATGTGGCACTCTGCTGCTGGTTGGTTCAAAATGAACCTAGCCTCTTCAACCAGCCCTGAAACTTCAGGCATGAGCATCACTATTAAAAACAAGAGCAACAGTGAATAGTGCAGTTTGAAATTTCCTCTCAGTACTTTTAGCCTATCTCCATTGTCAAAGGAATTCAGTAAGAGGTGAGAACAACATGGTGTACAATCGATTTCAGTCCTGCATGATGCAGGACACTGGTTATAATATGCAGAGTTTGCATTATATTAAAAATAAAGTACATATTTATGCAATTCAATTTTTTGCAATAGACCACATCACCTTTCATGAAGCAGATTCGGGACTCAGGAAGCTTCTTCATCAGGCGACCCATGAAGAACTCACTGCCAAAATCCTCAGCACGAATGAAGGCACCGTATTTTAGGAACCCAACCTCATAAGGGGTGAACTCCACCCATTCTGCAGAAACATAAAACAAACTTTTAAATCTTAATCTTTTCCCTACTTCCCTGCTGGAAGGGAAATGAAAAGGCAAAAAGACAGCTGTTGAATAAACCCTATTTGCAGGGTAACTACAGACTGGCCTTCCTCGGGGTAAAGAGTTATCATTCAGCTGGTGTCAGTCACTCAGTCAGCAATGTTGCATGGTGCTGTTCATTCAGAACTTTCCAATGACCCTCTCCAGAGAGAACATAAGGGAAGTTTATACTAAGAGGGGTCAGCCTGAGTTACCCCACATGTGGAGCTAAGGCTTGTCCTTAAATACCTCTCCAAGATTTCTCCTGCCCTGCAGAAAATAAGTTCCTCCCATAGCCTAGGCATAAAGTCTGGAAATGGAAAAGGAAGTTAAGGAAGAAAAGAAACTCTTTATAAATGCTATGGGTCAGCTGTAGAAGAGGTTAAAGTACTGATAATGCAGATAGTTCAAACACCAAATAAACCCATTTTTGCCATCACCTTTGAACTCTGAAAGGCTGTAATCTTCTTTGATGTTGAGGATCATGTAGATAGGTAGGGGATTTTGACCCTGACTCAATGCCTCTTGCTCATCTGAGAGTTTGTGGTTATTTTTCTGTGAATTGATGAAAGACAGAGCAAAATCAAGGGACCTTCTTGGTATAGTTTATAGGCTTCCAAGAGTACAGCAAAATACATAGCTGTTTCCCTCTTAATTTTGCTATTCTCTTGATTCATTTTGTGTCCAAACATTTTTTAACCAAGGAATGATCTAAACATTTACATATCCACATAGGCTTATTTCATTATTGGTACAGTTGTAGGCTGCTTTTTTTAAAAAAAATTGTCTTTTATTTAGTAAATGCATCCACTTCACATGGAAATTCGTTCTCACAGGGATGAACAGAGGAAAATAAACCAAGAGCAAGACTCTTTAGTTAGGTACTCAGTCATGCTTGTAGAAGGAGACATAGGGGTTTTTTTCTACAGAAGCCCCTTGGGCTCCTAATTATGCATTAAAAGGTACGTGGGGACAAAGCTCTCAACAAGTTTGCAGACAACACTAAGCTGGGTGGGAGTTTTTGATCTTCTGGAGGGCAGCAAGGTTCTGCAGGGGGATCTGGACAGGCTGGATCAACAGGCCAAGGCCAATCATATGAGGTGCAACAAGGCCAAGTGCCAGGTCCTGCACTTGGGTCATAACAACCCCATGCAGCACTACAGGCTGCGGAATGGGGGTGTGGAAAGCTGCCCAGCAGAAAAGGACCTGGGGGTGCTGGCTGACAGGAGCTGAACATGAACAGTGTGTGTGTGTGTGTGTCCAGGTGGCCAAGAAGGCCAATGGAATCCTGGCCTGTGTCAGCAGTAGTAGCAGGACCAGGGCAGTGATTGTCCCCCTGTACTCAGCACTGGTGAGGCCACACCTCACGTGCTCTGTCCAGTTTTGGGCCCCTCAGTATAAGAAAGACACTGAAGCGCTGGAGCATGTCCAGAGAACAACATGGAGCAAAGGCAATGGAGCTGGGAAAGGGTCTAGAGAAAAAGTCTTACAAGGAGCAGCTGAAGGAGCTGGCACTGTGTAATCTGGAGAAAAGGAGGCTCAGGGGAGACCTTGTCACTCTACAACTTCCTGAAAGGAAGTAGCAGATAAGTGGGGATTGGTCTCTTCTTCCAGGTAACAAGTGAAAAGACAAGAGGAAATGAACTTAAGTTCTGGCAGAAGAGGTTTAAATTGAATATTAGGGAAAATTCTTCTCTGAAAAGCTAGTCAGCATTGGAATAGGTTCCCCAAGGAAGTGGTGGAATCACCATCTGTGAAAGTTTTGAAACTCATGTAGATGTGGCACCTGGGGACATGGATTAGTGGTGAACATGATAATATTAGGTTAATGGTTGGACACAGAGGCCTTCCCAATTTTAACAATTCTAAAACCCCTTTGTTAATCAGCAGAAATCATCTGCAGGATAACGCTGGCATGCTCTCAAGCATCTATCCCTGGAGCTTCATTTTCCACACAATAGTATTCAGTAGCTGTTAGAGAAAACATAGGAAAAACACTACCCCATCGTCTAATGCTTTTTCCAGCAGAAGCCCCCAAAAATCAACACTAGAGAGCTGGTATCCCTCTTGCTTCCGTAGTTTCAGCTCCTTTGCATAGTATTTCAAGCTCTCCAGGGAAAAGCAGCTTAGCTTGCACTTGGTCATATGTCTGCGGACTTCTCCAATCGGTGTTGATAGATCCTTGTGCGACCAGTCAGCACTCTGATACAAATGTGACAAAGTCCTGGGGGAAAGAAAGGGAGTGTGCATTGTCATATGCAGAGAAACTTTCACTTTTTAGACTTAGATTTAAGGTCCACATCAAATGAATTACCTGAGTTACTTTAAAAGCATCTTTTGAGATTAGTCTATTATTGAAAAGATTTTTTTGATTTAGAGGAGTTCCCAATTCACTAGTGAAACTTGAGGACTTGAAAAAAGCCCCTCCTTGCTACTAAGGTTTATGCACGAGGCTGTGATTTGTGCCCCAGTGACTCAGTAGATCTAGTGTTGAAAGAAAGCAGCACCTAGGCCATTCACTGGCTTGGACAATGTGCTCCTAAGGCAGCAATAAAAAAATCTCAAGAATGAAACTCATGCCTTTCTTTACAAAAATGAAGAGAATAAATATCTCACAGTGGACTAGAGAGGTGATGAGTGATGTCTTTGTTCAGGATCTCCTTACCACGTTGAACCAGATGACCCAGTGATGTATGAAATAGCATCCAAGAGACCCAGTTTCTGAAGACCCAACAGGTTGCCTAACAGAGATGTCAATGCCCGGGTGCCACCTCCTGTTGTCATCACTGCTACAACTGGTACCTGTTTAATCATCAACACAGCAGTGGTAAGCAACACTTTGTTTATCAGCACAAGTGATCACAGCTGAGTGAAATGTAGCATGTCAGTACCACAAAAAATTCCAACACTCCACCATTTCCCCAAGCAGGGACAAAAAAAAAATGAAAATTGCGTATTTTGCACAGAAAAAAAAAACCCAAACAAACAAACAAACAAAAAAATTCCACAAAAAAACCAACCAAAACAAAACTAACTGATTTTGAGGATTTTGATCAAAATCAATCAATTTTGATTGTAAATTGTTACACGTTGGCTTATCAAAACCCATAGTTTCAAGGCATTTCAATATTAGACTGCATTTTCCTTAGCAAAACATTTTTTCTTAAGAGGTCTGTTTTGATAACAAGCAGAGCTCATCCTCTCTGTAAGTCACGCATAACAGCTAATTACATTTCCTACAAAGTACCTAGAGTATATAATTGCAGTGATGAAGCCTAATTGTATGGAAATCTAAATTCTGTTACATGAAGACAAATTTCTCTAAGAAACCCACTTAAAGAAGAGGAGCCCATTGACATTTTCCACACACATATCCAGGCAATTGCATCAAAGAAATACTCAACAGTTTCCTGATTCAAATCGAACATTTCAGGTAAAAGCAAAGTATTCTGATTTGCATTTACCTTACTATAAGGAAATATTCACTTGCTAGAAAATCTGAAAATAATAGTTGGAAATACTTCTCCTAAAAATTCTTCTACTTAAGAAACTGCTGGGGTTTTTTGATTGAAACTACTGTGCCATTGAGAAACAATGTAGTAATATGATCAATTTGTGAGTGGGGGCATAATTTATAATGTCTAAAACCATGCTGTCATATATTAGCTAATATGCCTTTGATCCGCCTGTCTTGGAAAAAGGAGAAAACACAGCTGAAAACAAATTAACCAGCTCTCAAGCTGGTTCTTCATTTCTCAAGTTCCTGATCACAAACCATGCTCCTTCCCTAAAGCATTAACCATCTCCATGCTAGTGAGGACATTAACAAATACAAACATTAGTGAGGACATTAACAAATACAAACATTACTCAGACAAGCAGATTAGAGAAAAAATGTGAAATGTCTGTTCTATTTGAGGAACTACAGCTGAGATGATGAGCATCAGATGAGAGAGTCTAAAATAAGACACCTTCTCACCAGCCAATATTATGCATCACTTTAACTGTTAGATTTTGTCCCTCCAAAAATCTGATAAAAATATGAGGTCTTGGTGACTGAATGATCAGATAAAACAGTCATACCATCTAGGTCAATAATGCACAAATGAAAAAGAAATAGAGAAAAAAATCTGATTGATGGCATTATGTGTTCTGGGAAAATGTGTATCAAGAGGATTTGATGCTATCCTGGCTCTTCAACTAAAATAGAAAATGTAGAAAATCATTCCTCAGTGCTTTACATGGTGTAGTGAATGTATCAGTGCTAGTTAAGGAACAATATGCGAAAGGCTAGGAGCATAACATATTCCTGTTACAGTCCCTGTGATACTCCCCATACCTCATGATCTTGTAGGTCTTGTTCTAATTGTAGTGCTTTTTTCAGAGCAGAAGCCACAAACTTCTTCCTTTTCTGTAGGAAATTTTTCTCCCCTGTACATAGATCAAACTCCAAGCGAACATCTAAGTTTCTGGACCTCAAACAAAGTCCAGCGTTAAACAGGGTGTGCAAAATCACTTAAAATTAATATCTGGATGCTTACAAGTTGCAATGTTTTTATGAGGCTTAGAAAAGCTGCTGCTGTGGCCCCACAAAAGCACATCACAGATGGCATAGATAAGATAGAGAAAAGGCTGATGAACTGCAAAGTAGCAAAATCTTACAGAAAGAAATATTCTTCATTTCTACACTGATTTTCAGGAAGCGTTGGACATAAAAATTGCAATCCATATAAGGATACTAAAAATAATGGAATATTTAGGGTTTCTTGCCTCAGGACTGCCAGATTTTATAAACACAAATACTCTATATTTTTCACAAGGAAGGAAATGAAAGTAAACACATCTTTTTCTAAATGTATAGCTCTACAGATGTTGCAACCAGAAAACATTGTTCTTCCCATCTAAACTGAACTTCCATATAGCAACATAACAGGAAAATTCACCTGGCACAGTTAGCCATCTTCTGGACATAGGCAATGAACATAGGTGAATAGGTAAACATAATCGTTGACTCAATACTTTCTCCCTTACAGAAATAGATAAGAAGGCAAAAAAGCATATTTTTTTCACAACCACAAAACACAAAGACAGAATTTCTTACCAGTCATTTGACTTCACATGTAAATTGACTGTCTCATCCTAGGAAAAAAAAAAAAAACAGCACAATATAAACACTGGAGATCATTCTGTGTTCTTTCTTTACCATCAGCTCTTAAGCACTTCTCTTTTTCTAAAAGCCACATTGAGCCACAAAGCCATAATAATCAGAAAATCCATCTAAATATTAAAACTTCTCCAAGTCCACTTTATTTTCCTTATATTGTTTTATAAGAAAGGTAAGGAGAGCAATATACAATAAAAATCAGCTCTGCCAATGTGCTCCATCCTGCCTCATCACTTGCATTTGCTCTGATCTGCATTAGTCCCTGAGGTGGTCACAGAAATCTCTTTGTCATGTGTTTGGCTGTAATTTTTTTTGTTCTGTTAGGTTCATATGAAAATGTACAGATCCATGATGTTAGGAATTGTTAGGAAGCTAAGGGCACTAAGAGTTACATATCTAAACCCCTACTTCACACTGATCTAATTAACTCATGCCCACTGATCTTTGGTCTATAGCTTAACATTTATTGTAAGAAGTTGGTATCAATCACCTTTGCTACTGCCACTTTCTCACTGAATGGAAGTGAATCCAGAGGAATAGTGAGGGATGCATGACAGTCTTTTTTGTCTTCACCTGAAGTACACTGAAAAATAAATTATAATGTAGAGAAATATTTGATGTATACAGCATACAAAAGCACTGTCTCCAATTTACTTTTTTCAAATGGGGTCCCTGTCCAGCAGTTTTCAAGTTGGTATCTAATAGTTGTATGTCTTAGGGTTTACAATGCTGTTTCAGAGCTGAAGTTCACAAAAGACAGCTTTTATTAAAAACACAAACTCCTTCCATTTGCCTCAGTCAAGTGTAAAAAACCATGAGTTTACTGTGCTTACTCAACCTAATGGTCACATACCGAGCAGAAATGAGGTTTCTTCTCTGCTAGAGCCATGCACAGCTCTGACAGGCTGTACTTGATGTAATGGAAGTTCAGGGGCTTCAGAGGTTGCCAGAAAGAGCCCAGTGACAGGGTCTGGCTCTTCTCATATGATCCCTTCAGTGAAAACAAGAAGTCTTTTTCTAAAAAAAAAAGTAATTCAAACATTAAAAATATACAGGGAGTTAATGACTATGATCCCAGAAATGGAACATTAAATGGTCTTTCAGAAGCTTATATATAAGTCCTTCAACAATGCTTACAAGCTTCCAAACTCTATTTATACAGCAAGGGAACAGTACAAGAAATATGAGGAGAAGAAAAGCAAAGAAGCAAATTAAAAACAAACCACAAAAGCTTATAAAGCTGCAGTAGATATTTTTAAAACTTCAACATACAAGCAAATTGGATAAAATCTAAGTTGAGATAGAAACATGTCTTTTCTTCAACTTTACAGCATTTATAAGATTCATTCCTTTAATTTCAAAGTCCAGTTTTTATAGTTAGTTAGCACAGACTATAACTATTGGATCTGTGAACCTGCATATACACTCCTAACCATCCAGTTCCTGTGCTCTAATTGTAAGAACAAAGCAGGAAAATGACAAAACAAAACAAATAATACAGAGACAAAAATCCAAACAAGCAAAACAAACTAAAACAAAAATATTTTTAAAAAACAACAAACAAAAACCAAACAAAAAACCCCAAAGCAAGCAGGCAACCAAGAAAAGACAGTTAACCATAAAATAAGGGGGTTTTGCTTCTAGTTTGAAGTCTAACCTGAAGGTTCTTTTTTTGTCCATCTGTTGTCCACTAGGACTTCCAAGCAGGAAATTTCACGAGACTGTAGCAGGGATGAAAAATGAGAGGTTAAAATATATAAGACATGTAATATCTGAGTCACTTCATTGCTATCTGTCTTTGGTCACCTGAGTCCCTGGGGTCTGGAAAACAGTCCACCCTGTGTGTGTTAGGCTGATAGGAGAAAATGTGACAGGCTTCAACTTGCTGTGGTGGTTTTGGACAGGACTGGGAAGAGAAGGGAAATAGCAGGGGGAGTATGCTGAGACCTCCTGAGGATAAACTGATGGGTTGGGCAAATCACAGGGATGTCCTTGCTGCCCTGCTTTGGTGAAGCTGGACAGTCAAGTGCTACCTCCTCTAAGTAATGAGTTACAGGCAGCTGAGAAAGCAACTTCCATATCATCCTGTGGAAGTGGGGAGAACAGGATGGCCATAAGGGCCACAAAAGAAGTTTCCCAAAGAAATGACAGAGCAGCAGTAAGTCAGTGAAAGACCACTTCAGGCTTTGTCAATAGGCTTGATATGAGCCTGTGGTGGTGAACAGGTCTCTCTAAGTATCCCAAATGACTGTGCACATTCTTTTCTAACACATCCTCCTGCAGGGAGCAGCATAACAGGACGGCTACTGTGTTTAACCCCCATTCCCCTCCCCTTGTGCCTTGCTGCAGTGAGGTGTTGGGGCACCTGCCAGATTCACCATTCCTATCGCTATGATGAAAACAAAGACAGAAGAACAATAGTTTTAAATTACCACTAATACACCATTAGTCACAAGCTTTTCAGGAGGGACTGGACTGAAAGAGAAAAAAACTGCAATCAGAAGAAGTATCACCTAAATACATCCTTAAATGAACATTAAGGAATAATACCTTTCTTGAAGTTTGTCTTGCTCAGCATGGTCTCAAACATGTATCTGATTTTTAATTTAGGGACACAACTGAAATGTGTTTTTCCTTTTTTTTTTTTTTAATCATAATGGTAAACAATAATTTTAATAAGTATGATGACTGCAATTCTTATTATCCTCCCTCATTCAGCAAGTAATAGGATAAACTAATAACTAGAATGATTCTTGGTGGATAAGGAATACAGAGTTTTAGCCAATATGCAACTAACTTCATCAACACCAGCCATTACTTTCATGCTGGGTATTTTATACTATATTATACTAAATGCTAGCATATGTTTGACTGCTTGTAAAGGGGCTCTTCTGTGGTTCCCTGTGGATGTTACTCACATGCTCTCCAATGTAAACTCAACCTCTAGGATCTCCTGCGTCTGTAAAAAAATAATTTATTATAAGCATCTGAATTAATTTTCTTTCTCATTAGCTATGGCTGTCAATTATTATTCTGGCTCCTGAAAGAGCTCTTCAATCGAATCAAATTTCCTTCCTGCTCCAGGTTATAGTGCAAGCAGTGAAAGCATTTGAGCTAGAGTGATTTTGAAAATGTTCTCCTTCCTTTGTTAACCATCAGTCCTCAGGCCAAACTGCCCTTTTCTGTTTGGTGGTGAGGCAGAGTAGAAGGGCAAGCAGTCCTGCAGCAGTAACTGTTGGCTTAAAACTGTCCAAAGGCTTGCCTTATTATTGTTTAATGTTATCTGAAGAGGTATACTGCTGTATAGAAGAGGATATTCTCAATTATTCTGATCAAAAGGACCTACAACATGGACAACACACTGATGAGTGCCCAGACAAGTTAAGGCAGACTGCCTGCTGAAATCACTGTGGATCTGAATACCCATATGTACCCTATAAGGAAAGTCAGTGAAATAGCAAATCTATAGAAGTATCTAACTTGAATACCCACATCTCGTGTTGAAGTCATCATGTAAGTGTTCAGGTAAACTGAAACAATGAAATAGTTTGAGCAACTGACCATCAGCTGGGTTTAGTATCTTAGTATGGATCTTTGGATTATTTTGGGGTATATTCAAAATAATTATAGGGTAAGGAATCTGTTTTTAAGGGAGTACTGCAGTATCTGTGTCAGATTATCCCCAAACTCACATGTGCTTGTGCCAGGAAAAGAAATACTAACAAAGAAACTTTGTGCAATGGTGATAAAGTTTTGTTTTCCAACAAAACCTATTTGAGCAACAGAGTCAAGAAAGAGTGAAAAAAGGGAATGCTGCTGTCAGAAAAAAACACCTGCTAGGTGGTTTGATGAGCTAGCAAAAGCCTGCAGGATCATGTCCTTGTCTGCTTTACTGATTAAGGTTTGGAAGGTTTTTCACAGGGAATATGAAGTGCATACCAAGAGGAAACAAGCTCTCCTATCTACAATTGCTTTAAAAACATTTACTTAGGAGGTAATATCAAAAAATTTATTTTCTTCCTGGGACAAAGGGTATTTTATCACTCACCTTTGGATTTAGTTGAAATGTCAAATTAACAGTTTCTCCAAGCTGGATTTTAGCAACATCAAAGAGAACAGTGAAGAGGAGGTCATCTTTAGTGACTGCATTTTCATCATAGACTTTCATCTCAAGAATATTCTGTGAACAGAAGTACAGAATTAGGATCCTATGTTGAGACCTTACCGAGACACAAAATTATGTGCTCAGCATGTTAAGGAAAACAGAGAAAGCATGGGGAGAAGTGAGAGAGCATGCACAACCTTTGCATCCACACAGAGATGAAAAAGGATATTCTGAACCTAACGCAAAGTCAGGTTTGTTGGTTAGTTTTCCTGCAGAGTAATTTAAATTACAAAAGCTAGTAGAATTACTGAATATTGAAAACCATGTTTGGCCTCCAATTTGGTATGAGGTCACCACTTTTTCCTGAATTGTAAGAAACCAACTAGTTGTCGGAACTTTGTTGCTATTGGTAGAATAAAAAACCTTGGATATAAGCAGCAATTAAAATACATTAAGGATGTACCATATAATTACTTCATGGTTGCATCATTTTATCCTGTAAATTATTAAACAGATCACATGCAGATTATTACCATGGAATCTACAGAAAGTGATATGCTTTTGTTAAATTGCACAAATACCACTGTATAAATCTCCTCCTCTCCCTCCTCTGTCACCTGCCTGTTTGGATGGACAGGAGAGGGTAACAACTCTCCTGTGCCTGATTGGTAGCTAGACGTGGGTTGCCAGAGTGCTGAGCAAGTGAACCTTAACTGCTATTTTCCCAGTGGGGCAATAATTCAGGCCTCCCTCAATATATTCAGCGGCTCATTTTCATGCAAATTACAGGGAGTGCTTATCTCAGATTCTTACTTATGCATCAGATTTAACTGCAACTTGCTAAGAGGCTTGATGTTTATTAAAGACACACAGGCTTATAGTCTGACACACAAACAATGTGGATAAAAGAGAGTGACCATGTGAACTTTGTTGTCTTAGAAGTTCATAACGTATCTCAGAAAGGCCCATACCTAAATGTGATAAGTGATTGATTAGACAAATACACTGAAAGGAAGCCATTCCAGAACACAAGCATTCAATTTTGACATCTATCATCCTGCAAGAAACCACCAAGTGAGAGATGGCAAATAACCCTGAGTTTGCAATTCACTGTCAGAACACAGAAAAGCTGTTGACCTTCAAGGCCACCTATTTAAAAGTATTGCACTGTGGTCAGCCCTGTCCCTGACACTTGCTAATAGAAACATACTGTCACAAGGCAGAGACAAGCAGCCACAGCACCTAGGTTTACAGGCCAGCCACAAATAGCCTGTAAAAGTTTATGGAAGGTGATGAAGGTGATATGCTTAAAAGCAATAGTCTGCAGTTAATAGAAGGCAGGCTTGCACGGAGGAGCAGATGAGTTTTCCTAGCTGTGATAATGCAATAAAATATACTTATCTGGCTTAAATTACTGACTTATTTTCTGAGTGACCAACAGATTTGCAGTCCCAGCTACTCCCAGCTGGCCAGGAGAGGCATGCACAGGGTGCTGGCTAGCCAAGGGAGGTCTCTGGCTGTGCCCCTGGGATGCTGTATGGGAAGCAGCCAGGGGTGCCCAAGCAGTTCACTGTTCCTAGCTCACCTGACAGAGAATATTAGAGCAGCATCACTAGGAACCAGGTAATGAGCAGAGACAGCCCTTGGCAGGGCTGTGTGCCACTAGCTCTGGAAGGGTCACCCTCTTGGAGCTGTGGGAATTGTGCCTACAGCAGAAGCCTGGGAAGCCCTTTCTAGGCAACTGTTTGTCAGACATTCATCAAAACAGATATCAAAACAGATGCCCATCCATAAACACTTCTGTTCCTGGGAAAAACCAGCACAAACATGCCCAGTCACTTTTCTTCCACAGTGACAGTATATTATATGGTTTTGCTGAGCTCTGGCCACCATAATTTGGGAAAATAAATACCTCAGCAAAACACAAGACAGGAAAGAAGAAAATAACCAGACCAGCAAATTCTGGTCCTACACAGAGGGTAATGAGAACAGGAATTGCAGCATGTACAGAGAAACCTGCAAGAGTCTTAACTGCTGAGCTGTGGTTGTCCCAGATCCCCTGGGTACATTTTTGCAGCCTACACTCAAGCCACAGCCACCACCACCATGCTGCTGTTGCCACACGCTGAAAATTACCCTAGCTAATGTCACATGTCTTGTCTCCTGCTGCGAATTTGCAGAAAGTAAACACGAGGTCTTCCCGAACACTACTCCTGAAGAACTAGTTCAAGCAGCTTCCATGGCCAAGGTATTTTTTAGCTGTTCTGTGGTATTGCAGTTTTGAAAAACCTTTCAGGAAGAGCAGTTGCTTGTGTGCAGATCAGTGGGTGTTTGTTCCCAAGCTGCAATGTTTGTCCCTTGCTTTTCACCTCTCTGATAACCTGCAGGGCTTTCACGAAATTGTACCTCACTGGCATTTTGAAAGAAGTTGGAATTTTTTTAGGTTTGAAGGGAAAGCATTGGCTGTAGGCTACAGATGGGCAGACATCTGAAAGCTGCCAAACTGGGCCAGTACCACCTGAGTGTGTAAGAAAGCCTGAGAACACGTATCATGGGCAACTTCTGCATTCAAAGGCAAGACGGATTGTTGACTGGAGACCCTGTGGTGCAGGAACACACTGACCTATTCCAAATGCTCTTTTAGAGGAGTTTATCAATTATTGAGAGAGCCAGGGGACTGGCTGGCTGATTTCCCTCTTTAGAGAGTCCTGATATGGCACCAGTGCTAGGAAATGAACAGTGCATGCTGTAAAGCAGAGATAGATTTTCCCTGGTGTGAAGTAAGCTTGGTTTACTTAGCCTACCACTGATCTTTGTGAACTCCTAGATCCTGATGTTCATGATGTCTTTTGGAAGGAGAAGATAGTTGGACTTGCAAATCTTCTTAAGCTTTAACATATATTCTCATGGTAAAAGTTCATCAAGTTCTCTTTTGCAAACTTCAACTGTTGCTTTGTGACTTTTTATTTCTAGTCATTACAAAGGAATAGTAAAAAAGTACAACCCTGTGATGCTTTCACTAACTAATTCATATATATCTTTTACACTATTCAATTTACTCTGAAATTTTCACATTTATTCATGAAAAGCAGCGATTAAAAAAGGAAAATAAAAAGTGAAAGTGATAGAACACTATAGGAATGGTTATGAAATATCTTGGTTAATTTTTACATATCAGAAAAATAAATTCAAATTAATTTAATTTTGCTGCTACATTCTATTCCAAAACCCCGTACCGGTATCCTTGTAGTCCTTCACACATATTTATTTCTGGTTTTATTTTGCCCTACATATTGATCACAACATGATCTCTCTAACCCAAAATAAAAACAAATGAACTCTGCATCTTACCTTTACTTGGCTCTGGATCCTGAAGCAAAATGTTTCATTCCACACTGGATCTTTGCAGTTCTTAATAGTTTTGGTCCGGACAGTCTCCGGGGAAGCAGTGGGCAAGGACAGGTTTATGTAGCAATCGGTTTGGCTAACTGTATTTGAAAATATATGTTGTACAAACATCTTAAATAATAGCCTTATAGCACTGAATGTATACAGCAAATTGCAAAAAGAAGATGTTTCGACAACTTTTCTGGCAGTTCTTTATTCAAAACTATTCACTACTTTTTGTTACCTCCTGCAAGTGGGAGCTCAGGTCATGAATGGAGATTCAAAGAAACCACTGCAATAAAGACAACTGGCAAGAAAAGAGCAGAGCTGTATGGGAAGAGCTAGTTTGACTTAATAAACCAGTTATTGGTGCATGCCCTGTTGGTTGCAAATCAAGAGATTTCTGTGATGGAGAAGAAAAATGCCTACACATTCTAAGAGATACTTTTTTTCAATAATCAAATACTTTTTCAACCACCTACCCCTGGTCTGCTGTCCTCACATATCTGTAATCCACTCCATGTAATGAGCTGACTGTCTCACTCAGTATGTGACCACATACCTTCACCATGAAAAATAATATGCAAAAGTAGCAGTGCACTTTTCTCTTACTGTGATTTGAGCCCTGATAGAGAAGAAAATTCTAATTTCTGAGAAAGGTGGTAATGTCACAGAAGGTTGCACAGTTAGCTACAAATACGACATTAAATCTTAGTACACAGCAGTTGGTTTGGGTTTGTTTTGTCTCCAGACCTGTCTGGGTGGGCACAGCTATCACAGAATCACAGAATGCCCTGGGTTGGAAGGGACCTTACAGACCATCTAGTTCCAGCCCCCTGCTGTGGGCAGGGCACCTCCCATTAGACCAGGCTGCTCTGTGTGCTGGGCTCTGCCGCATGGTGTGGGTGAATCATCTCCTGTGGGTTGCCAGAGTTCTCAGGTGAGAGGCAAGTTGGGTACTTGTGTATCCGTGCAACTTTGTGTGTCAGTCTGATATATGTAGAGTATTTGGTGGTGGTTAGGAAATCTGATACTACTAAGGAGATAACTGATTTTTTGCAGGGAGCAATGCAGGGCATTTGCTCCTAAAAGTATAAATGAGTTGATGCCTCATGAAGCTGTGGTAGCAAACTGAGACCCTGATAATGTAGTGAAGAATGCTGGGACTCAGTTTCTCTATGCAGTCATCCACCCTTTCCAGCACTCCCATTTTGAGCAAATCTGCTGTCCTTTCTAGGGAATTGACATTTCTTTTGTCTGCTGGGCAACTACAGCTGTCTCCAATGTCTCCAGCTCTAAAAACTTGTTTCGTATTTACAGTATAGCTCAGATTTGGGTATAATAACAGGCAGTTTGGTACTGTAAGATACATGATGAGAGGTACGAGTAACCTGCTGGAAAAGGTCTCATGACATCGGTCATTGGATTGGTTCCAGTCCCAGCTCTGTCACAAACTGCTAAATCACTGAAGGCAATTGGTTTAATTTAAACTTATCTTGCTTCTCCATCTGCATTTCCCCACCAATAACACAGTGATAACTATCCTTTCCGCTTTTGTAATCTGCTTGGATGTGACCCAGGAAGAGAGTCTGATCAGTAATTATATTATTCTTTCTCTACCACTGTCTTGGTTCTCCTTCTACATTTTCTTTAAGCTTGTGGAGTAAGCCATGCTGCAATGAATAGGTGTTGCTTAAAACAATTTATGCAATCAGGGTATGTATGATTTGTCTTTCAAGTCCTCTGATACTGTCTGAACATGAAACATCTTCCAGTTTCTCAGCATGCACTTGTTTTCCCCTTACTGCCCATACCAGGTAAGAGATTACTTTAACATTACAGTAATGTTTAAAAATATCCCAATATTACATACAATAAAAGACATCTGCATTTGCAATTTTAAAGTGCAGAATATAGGCAATATATCTGTTGATAACAACTTACTGGTAATAAAACTACTTGTTTAGCTGTCTCCCACACACTATTTTCAAAAACCCTTTCATTGATTTTTAACATTTGAAAAAGATCTTTGAAAAAGAGCTTTGCATAGTTAGTGGTACCAGAGGAGAAGGCTGTTTCTTCAGCAACTGCAAGTTATGCACTAATGCTGTATGTGAGTTTTAGAGAATTTGTTCATTTATGGTCTAGGATATCTCTTTGTTGTACACATGAGCTATGACTCCTGGTTTAGAAGAAAGGCATTCATTATTTTTAGAGTATCAAAGGAGTGTTAAACTTGTGACTTACACTCTTGTATCTAGATAGAGCTGTGGAAGGTTTGGTTCTTCATCATCTCTGAATACAACAGACCTATACCAATCTGAGAGGTTAGTCCAGTCTTTAGCAAGGCTGCTCACCCTTAATAAGGGCAAAAACAGAGTCCTACATTCTGATGATCCCCATTTAACACCAACTAAGTTGGCAACCAGTGAGGTCTCAGTCTCAGCATAGCCTAAGACAAGAATGCAGATAGAAACAAAGGTATTTGACTCTGAAAACAAGCAATTAAAGGCAGGACACTGCACCAAGAATAACAAATTAAACCCCAAACTAAAATGTTGCAGGATGCATCTGACAACTTACATAAACAAGACAAATTTAATTACATTGGACCAGATCCCAAATACACAATGTTAAACATAAATTAGAAGGCTGTTCCAGCTCCTAGAGGATTAGCAATGGCAAGAGAGACTTTATAAATTTTTTAGGTAACTCACTTTAGACTGTTCTAGTACTTAGACATGTACAAAACAGTGATAGACAAGCTAAATTTCATCCTGCTTCAAGAGATGAGGCCAGCCCAGGTGAACCTATAAGGTGTCATATGGAAATGCTGCCACGTAATTTCCATGTTTATGCTGGAAGGCAGAAAACAGGATAATCGTGTCACATCAGTTATAGTGCATGGAAAACAGCTCAGCCACTTCCCTGCCAGTGTTGACTATCAGGGAAAGAAGTGATAGGACTGCTTTAAATTGTACACCAACCCAAGGGATCAATTACCACATAGCTGGGTGCTGTCTCCAAAACAACTCCAAACCTCCTTCTTTGACACAAATGAAATAAGACTGTAAGTAACTTGGAAGACTTGCCACTGGTACAGTGTCTGAGGAACAAGGCCTAAATCCATACATAGAGTCTCCAGGTACTATCACAATACAATCATCAAAACAAAACAACACAAAAAGCAACACAATGTAATGCAGAGAAGCCTATGCACAGCTTAACTACAAATCATGCATTTCCATAGGCTTACCCTTTTTTAAAAGCATTGCCACTCTTTCACTGATAATCCCAATGACAATTTCACTAATCCCATCCTCAGATAATCAGCCAGTAAGACTCAAAATATTGTATATTGTATATTTGTATATTTTTGGGAAATAGATCAATCAGTCAGATTTTCTTTGTTCCACCTTAGACCATCTTGGGGTGATAATGTGGTGCAATCTCAGCTAGCTAAGATTCCTAAGAAGGTTCTTTCATTCCCTTTTAAAAATAAACTAGCCAAAACTAAGTCTTGGTCAGACATCAACACTGTTGATGCAGATACAGAGGGTAGTTAGCACATCTAAAGAAACCACTATGAGAAGAAAACATCATAGAAACAGATTTGGAAACAGGCTGCAAGCAGTACACACAAATGCTTTTGATTTCAAAGAAAACAAGAGTGGGAACAAAATCAATACCAGAAAGAGCTGAATGACCAAATCAACACTCACAAATTTTCTTTCTTCAGAAAGTGATCACAAGAATGTTGTTCACCCAAGAAGGGAATAGAAACAAAATTGCTTAAAAAGTTTAGCTAAAATTTTTGTTTCCTTAAGAATCATTATTTTGACTCAGAAATGCCCCTTACAAGGCATTCTTGGTCAAGATTGATCCTAAATAAGTAAGAAAATATGAGCACCTTTGTCAGGAAAATATTCAGAACTATTGTCAATGTAACTGCAGAATACGCTGCAAACAATAGCATCAAAATTTGGGAGTGAATCTTACTTTTAACCTTCACTGGCTATTTACTGCAGCACTACTTTATTGTCTCCTGCTGAGAGTACAGCCATAGAAAGTGCCCAAGAGAGGAGCCATAGTCCCATGGGGACATTCTCATGTATCTTCTCAGCAGTGCAACTATTACAGCCATGTCAAATGTAGCCTCTCTACCTTGCATTCGCCTCCCACATAATAGCAAATCACATCTGGGTTCTTGGTCCTTATCTACAGTGTCCTCTGTTCAGCAAAAATGTTGTCCAAAGATCCAGAGAGAATCACTGATGGAGGACCTCAAGCTCCAAGAATCTTGCCTGTGGGCAAGGCTTTCCCTGGCATTACTCCAGGTGTTCAAAATCTCCACAGTGACCAAGACATACCCCAGGCCTTATTGTGCTTTTATCATACCAATCACCTCAGCAGCATTCATCCACGTCCATTGGTAAGGGTACTAAGAGAGACAGATGCATAAACCAAAATGTGTCCCTGCTCAGAGGGCAGAGAAAGAAGGAATCCCTAATGACAGGTATCAGTCACACTGCATAATGCATAATTGGATGAACTGCAGATACTGCTGTTTTTGTTGAAACCGGAACAACCAAGACGGGTACTGAGGTGGAAAAAATCTATTTGGACTCAATTAACAAAAATGTATTTAAATACATTTTTTCTAACAATATATCAAAGCTGTACCTTTGCTCCAAGTCCTGGTTCCAGCCAGAAGAGGGTTAATTTTTGCAGCAGCCAAGAGGGGACATGGCCAGGACCCAGAGGTTATTGCTCAGAGATGGGGGAAGGGAGTCTCTTCATTAATATTGTTATTGTAACTGCTTCCTTTCTCATCTGTTCCCAGTAAATTGTTCTTATCTCAACCCATAATCTTTACCATTTTTGACTCTCCCGCCTACCCAGTGGGAGAAGCAAGCAGCACTTTGTTGAGAGAGTCTTAGTGGGAGCACTAAATTGGGAAGAACAATTTCTAAACCACGACAGGCCATCAAACAAATACCTCAAAAATTCCTGAAGCAATTCCTCTAATGAGTAAACCTTTGTTATAATCTTCTCTTATTTATGAATTATCAATAGATATAATAACTGAATAATTTAATTA